ACAGAGCACACCCAAGAAGACCGGTTCAGGAATACGAGTTTCCTTGATTCGTCAATTCCGATGACATGGGCAACGCTTAGTTCGAATGCCGCCATCTGTGAACGAAGCGGAGCGGCCGAACTTAATGTTTTGACCATTCTCTCCCCGTCTTCAGCCGTGGCAAGTGGATCGAACGCCGCTACATCATCTAATTGCTTCCCTAGCAAGAAGCTACTATCTCTGTTTCCGATGTCAAGGTGGTCTAAATCAATAATCGTGATTCTGTTGGAGTCGACGGAGCTGTTCGGCTGTAACAAGTCTAGCATAATTCTTTGTTTTTGGCCGACCGAATAGAGGATCGCGCTTTTGAGCTCTGCCCTGTCATTTTCCAACGACAATGCAATGCATAAAACTTCAGACCAGTCACTCCAGGAGTAGGCGCAGACTTTGGCGTTGTCGATACAGACAATGTGTAGAGAGGATTCTGGATGAGGGAGCCATTTGCGAATTCCTGGCATTTGTGGGTATGTTCGCTCTGTCGCACACTTACCGCTGTCCAAGTTGAACAGGTGATCAGACTCGCGAGTCGATACTAGGAACTTCGCCGCCATTTCTCCTACTAGCACATCTATGATTGCTTTCTCGGAGTCGAGGCGGGATTTGAAGAGTACCGTCAGATCACTCAGCCAGCCTTTGTCTGCTGACTTCTGGATTCTGTGCAGGAAGATCATGTTGGAGGCATCGACACTAAGGAGCGCGTCTCTCCGTTCAATCCAGACCAACAGGCGGACTGGTGCCTTATGGCAGTAGAGAGTCCTCAAGCTGGTTGCCGTTTTCCGCTCGTACAGTACAACTGATCCATCATCCTTTCCGCAAAGGATAGTTTCTGACGTGTGATGGACCACCATGGCAGTGATCTTCGCTTTGGCTTCCACGGAAACCGTCTCGACCACTGTAGTGAAAGTGGCCCCGCTGCTGTCATCGCTCAGGGTCTCCCGCAACAGAGCTTCAGGTTCCCAGACAGTGCACTGGGAGCCTCGTATATCGGCAAGAAGCATACTGTCCCTGGTAAAGGCAAGCTGTTTGATAAATGAGTTGGATGACTTGACCCGATACAGAAGCTTGAACGTATCAAATTCGTAAACGTGAATAATCCCATTTGCACCACCCGCTGCAAGGAGACGCCCATTGGGGCTTGAGGCGAGGGTTTGGCAATTGGCACGAAAACATTCCAGCTGCCGATCGGCAAAGGGGTCAAGGAGGGCAAGATCACCATCGAGGTATGCTACTGCGAGAAGGCTAATGTCAGGATTGGGGTTGAAAGCAAGCGCAACGACAACAACATCCGTGCTGGTTTCTCCGCTGGATAGTTTCTTGCCACAGTTACCAGCGTAGGCGTCCTCTTCCATGTCCCATAGCACAATGGGTTGGCGGCTGTAAGCGACAGCAAGCATTCCGTGGATGGTAGAGAGAGCCAGTGCGCATGGGGTCCCACGCGGAGGCGTTAGGTTCGTCTCTAGCGTATCGGTATCGCTCCATGGCCTCCGCACCGATTCCGGCCGGGCGCCGTGTCCCAAATCCCAAGCCGCGACATAATTGTTGCGACTTGCAATTAAAAGCGTACCTCCATCGAATTCCATCCCCAGCGGACTGGGAGGGCTCGCGAGGCTGTGCACCACTTGCCCACTTCTGATATCCCAGACCTTGGCCATCTTCCTACCACAAGTTGCTACGAGGTCAGTTTTGGGTTTGAAAGCAATGAAGTTGACTGCTTCACCGTGCTCCAAGACCTTGTACTCCTGGTACGATGTGGCATGGTACAATACGACAGTTCCTGAACTGAGACCGACGGCCAGGAATTCATCTCCATAGCGCAAGGCCCTAGGTTGACCTTGACAGAAATCAATGCACAGCAGCCTGTCATCCCATTGCTTGTTAGGCGTGCCAAGAACTGCGAGCCTCCGGCCTGAGCGCCCAGTGTTGTATACCATAGACTCGGTGGGACAGAATGGAGGTACCAACGAATATATTGCTGACGGTGATATCGTGAGCGCGTTGGCAAACATGGCAGGAATCCGAGCAAGGTCCGTTGTCCACTGTCGTAGTGCTTGTATCCGAGGGTCCAGTGGTGAACGCTCAATGGCACATGCATTGACGTAGATCTTGAGATGTTTTGAGGCGCGGATGAGGTGATTAAGACTTTTCGAGTCAGCAATCGTTTCAATCCAAGTGAGGACATTGGATCTGAAGAACTGCACGGCAAGCTGGAATGTCCCTGCCGCCAACGGATCAGACCTCGAGAGATGATAGGAGTATGCTGTGTATGCATAGGCGGCGAAATCTAATCTTGCTGCTGGCAAACGTGCCGAAGGACGGCGTCGGCTGCTCCTCGGAGGCTTCATTTCTTCCCCGACAAGGTAGTTGAGACACACCCGAGCCATCCATGTGTGTGCCTGAGTTTTTTCGACAAAGAACTCGGACTCAAGTCCGCCGGTTACAAGGAATTGCCTGGCAGTTTCATGCACCATATTTACTCTCCCATATTTGTCCACGACCACCAGTTCACCACAAAGCGTGGCAATACTCTCTTCCAACCTTGGGAATGAGTCGTGGGTGTCTAGGGTCAGAGCACCGTCCAGTTCGCTGATTGTCATTGGTCTAATTGCGCATACTGCCCACATAAGAATAATTTTGGCCAGCTCTTTTCCTCGAGCAGCCTGCGACATATAGTCCAAAGTCCGCTTATATAGTGACTCCATGCCTCTGGGCACATCTTCAAGAATCTGGTAAGTTTCCCTCCTGCTGTGGCAGCGTATAAGTTCCTCAAGCACTAAAATTGTCCACAAGAAGGACCCCATAGATTTGTCTAGTATCTTCTCGGCTAATGTATCTCGATCGTCAGGTCCAACGACTCCTAAGGCCTTGGTTCTATTCTTAACCAAAAGCCTGAGATCCGACTCTGTGTCTGTTATCGAGATTGGCAAGGACTGGACCAGGTCGGGTGCAATGAACGAGAGACCTTGGTCTAGATCGACCGTATACCGACTTGTAATGAGAATTCTCAGGGGTATAGATTCGTCCATGTTGGAAAGAAAGGCATATAAAAGGACCGGAAGATTGGAACACTCGTCCAGGGCGTCGATGACCCAGAAATTCCGAGTCATTGTGGCCTGGAAAATGCCAGAAAGGAAGAGGGTTCTCCAGAGGGTATGTTCGTCGACACGATCTAAGCAAACACCATCCGCCTGTATTCCTAGAATGGCATCACTAGCTTCGCAATTAGAGCTAGCCATCTGAAAAGCCAGAGATCGGAGACAACAACCTAGGTTGGACTTCGACTTGTCTCCATGTTTGAAGAAAAAGTAGCTGCATGTCTGGCCAGAGTCCTTGAGCTGATTGATGACATAGCCAGCGAGAACAGACTTTCCAGTTGCTGGCTTGCCCTTAATCCATAGCGTCCTGTCATTTCCGGATTCCCCATCTCTCCATTTGACGTAACTGGCTTTGGTCGAAATCCATCCGCAGGTCCCATGCATCCGAGCTTCGCAGACGTTTGTAAGATCATCGTCTAAGATGTCGGGAACTTTCAGGTACTTCTTGAGATTTTTGATTCTCTCACGCCTCTGCTTCAGTTTCAGCTCCGGAATTACCGTGGTAATTTTGTTCACAGTAGAGGCGAGCGCGTTTCGGAGGACGGCATAGTTGGGGTCTGCAGGTGTGTCAAACTTGCATATCGAGCGGTGGTCAGCAGTCATGGGTATCTGCTGCTCTCCACGGTACCCGAGGACGGCCGACTCGGGATCGACGATGAGTGAGCTAAAAATTTTCATATTTTGCGTTTCGTAGAACGACCAGAGCTCAAGGCCGGCCGAAAAATGTCGAAATTCGTCATTGATTACTTGGACCGCCCCAGAATTTGGTTCCAGATCGCCGACATAAGCACGGTCGTATGCAATCTTGAGGAGGTTCTTCAGAACCTTTGCCGAGTCGGCACCTCGATGCGGCGTGGCGAGAAAATAGAATGCGGCGAATCGCCCAGCCAGCGCCTTGTGCACTTCGTCTTGTTTAGCCAGGATATATGCTTTCTTTATCACTAAGCCACCCATGCTGTGGCCGATGACAACGATGTGTGTTCCAGAATTGAGAATGCATGGCGAAGTGCTGATCGCACCTAGGAATGACTTGCCAATGTGGTGTATATTCAAGCAGTCCTCTTTTCCTTTCAAGTAGTACGAATCGTATCCATAGCTATGAATGCGGACGTTCTTGAATGCGGGATCTTTGGAGAGCCACTCCTTTGGCCAGAAATTATACTGCAGAGACGATTTGGTCCATGTTTTTCTAGAATTACCGCCTAGGCCATGGACGAAGATGAAGTCGATCTCCGGTGCCGTCGGGGAATATAGGAGACTCAGTCCAAGAGGGCCTTTTATGCTCTCCGCTTGACCGTCCGATATTTTTAGCGTCCTAGGCAGGGCCTTTGACAGAGAAAACAGGCTCCTCGAGCTCTTAGTCGAGTCGCGACTACTTGAGGGACTGTCGGGATGTAGCTCGGGCTTTGCGTGCCGCTGCTTTCGAAAGAACTGGTACAGTCAGCGATCGGGTAAGAGGGAAGTTTCCCAGGAGGCCAAGGAGGTGAGAGTCAACCATTGTAGACCAAAAATTCCAGTGCGTAGGGCGTCAATCCCGGTCGCTCGGACTTCACGAACGGTCTGCCAATCAAGAGAATAATAGAATAATGGTTCAATGGGAGTTGTTTCAGGGGAGACTCTTGGTAATGCCCAACACCTTGGGATTGAAGTACGTAATATGTACCTACCCCTCCTTCGAACCACCAATCAGCTGGTTGCTTTAACTGCTCGTCGACGACCCCCGCCGACTCAGGAAAGATAACGGTAGGTATTTACCCAGAAACTCACTCCCTTTCACCTTTACCTTTGATATTTCTTGAGGACGCTGTGCTGATTTGGCGCATAAGAGGGATTGTTCGCGCATTGTATATTATTTCAGAGCGATATACTATGGGTTCAACGAATCCAACCTTCGCAGTTGGGGACCATGAGGCTTTCATGGAATTCGCTCTCATTCAGGCACAAAAATCACCGCCAGCTGCCAACAAATTCTGCGTCGGAGCCATACTTGTCGACGGCGCTAACGGCAAGATCCTATCAACAGGGCACTCGCTTGAATACCCGCGAGATTACAATGGAGACCTAGGCACCACGCACGCAGAGCAGTGTTGTTTCATCAAGATCGCCGATGAATACAACCTCTCTGAGGAACGCATCCATGAGGTCCTTCCGGATAACACGGTACTGTACACGACTATGGAGCCATGCAACGAAAGACTTAGCGGCAACATGAACTGCGCGACCAGGATCTTGAGGCTTAGGAGCGCCATCAAGACTGTCTACGTTGGAATCAAAGAGCCAGGGACATTTATCCCACACAATGATGGGCAGCAAAGGCTAGAGACGAACGGGGTCAAGGTCGTATTCCCTGTTGAACATTGGCGTGATAGGATCACCAAGGTCTCAATGACTGGACATTGAAGACTGAGATTGGGGTAGCGAAGAAAGGTTGCGGAAGCACCCGGACGGCCCGAGTCGCCACGTGGCTCTGAACCCTTTTTTCTCTTTGCTTGTGCAGAGTGCTTCGCCAGTATTATTTATGTTTTCTTCAAGATTTTGTGAATATATTGTGTGGCCTAGCTGGATTGAATCAAGTCATGCTTTACCCTTTCACACCGTCGCTCTCGCGGACATAGGCAGGAGGATACTACAAAGTAGTCAGCACAGCGAGATGCACATGTGGATACACATACAAGTGGAACTCGCAAGCAAGTGGCCAACACAACCGAGAATTTCATATGGAGAACATAAATGGGAGTTGACCCTCGGGACGATAGTTAACTGGTGAAGCAGGGACCCTGCCACGGGGGACAGGGGCACCGACAGCCCTGCCAGCGAAACAGGTGTGAGAGCAAAGTCGCTCACTGGGAATGGTAGGATGAGAGAGAGGAGAATACCAGGGGTGGCTACTAGAATAATGGAAGGTTGAAAGGAGGTTGAAGGTGTCTGCGTGCAATCATTTCTGCATCAGGGGTCCTTCATAGTTATCCCGACCTCGGGAGGTTCCGAGGTCAACATATCCGCTTAGTCATCCTCGTCATCTTCTAAACAGCCTTAACTCCGTGACCCACATCGCCAAGCCTAATTGGATTCTTCCATCCTCAACTGGCATGTGGTGGCAGCTCATCTTCAAACCTGTTAAGCAAAGTGTGACACCCTAGTGCAGACAGCCACAATGACCGAAATCTCGACTGTTGACCAAATCCCCATATCCGATGATGCCGAGCAGAAGACGGACAACGGGCCTGCATTGAGTGACCCGATCGAACGCCGTCGGCGACAGAACCGCATAAACCAGAGGGCTCACCGTACGTCACTTTCGCTGCAGTCTATTCAACAGAGGTTAATCTTTGCCGCCAATATTTGCCAGGAGAGCGCAAGCGACTGTCATTAATTAAAAACATCCACCAGAAGAGCCTAGTCTCATCCTCTAGTTCGACCTCTACCGTCCAAACGCAAGACCATTCTTCACAAGACCGTTCTTCGCAAGACAATCCGAAAGTCAACTTCAACCGCAGCCCCGAATTTCTACACAACACTCTGGAGAAATTCGCCAAGTCAGCGTATGAGAGTTACATACGGGGGGACCCGAGCACTGATCATCTTATGACCTTGACTAAGGTTAACGTATTTCGAGGATTCATGGAAAATCTGCGATTAATTGGTTGGTCGGAGTACTGGATCGACCTCGATGTCATTTCGCCGTTCAGTATAGCTTCGCCACAAACGCCCCCTAACATGGACGATAACAGCCTCCTTCCGATCAGCCTGCAGCCCACTCGAATTCAGAAATCGATACACCATCACCCGTGGTTGGACTTATTTCCTTTACCTAAGATGCGCGATAATCTCATCGAAGCCGGGGATGAATGGGATGATGAGCAGCTCTGTCACGATATCATGGGTTTCCGTGGCGATTCAACGATGGATGCAGGGCTGCTGGTTTGGGGAGACCCTTGGAACGTGCAGAACTGGGAGGTGACCGAGGGATTTCTGAAGAAATGGCAATGGGTTATTCGAGGATGCCCGGAATTGATGAACGCGACAAATAGTTGGCGTGCCCGTCGAGGGGAGAGACCAATATTCCGCTATATTTGAATCAACATAATTAAAACCTGGGAACCAGCTTTACCAATTTACTTAGCAGCCTACTATTAGGGGGAGGGGTTGTTGCATTATTGTGAACTAGGTGCTATCTATCAGAAAGTTGTATCGAAGAGCAAGTCTATAAAATAAAGGACGTGAAGCCAAACACCAAAAGCAACCCATGAGAACATCAGACGTCAAGATCATGAAAATAGTAGTCATGTCACACATAACCCCCGGGGGTTGGGGACCTCATATCGGAGACCTCGGGATGAGTTTGTACTTAGGTAACATGCTCTTTCTCCTCCTCTTTGGGAATTCGCACCCAAACCAACGTGATGAATGCCGCGACCACTTCACATGCAAGCCCGAACCACCAAATGGCACGGATTCCTTTCAAGCCGATGTCGCCATCTGGTCCCTGGTCGACTTGGGTGCCGATGGCATCTGCGACCGCTGTCATGATTGCGGAACTCAAGTTCTGCATTGTCACTAGCAGACTCCCAGCACTGCCTTGATAAGAGCGACGGACATTGCTGGTGATATAAATTGACGCTGCTGCAAAAGAGAGATCCGGACCGAAGGTAACGAGGGCCACACCAGGGAAGGACAGTGCCCAGTATGACGTGTTTGGGGTTTGTGGGAGGAAGAAGACGGGCCCCAAGCCAAATGCAACCATCGCAGTGAAATAGATATAGTGACCCGGGACCACGTGAAGAGTTCGACTCACCACCCAGGTCGCGAGCACCCCGACAATAGCATTGGGGAGAAGGTAGAGTGCAACCGTGAGCGGAGTATTTTGCTGGATTCGTAACCAGAACTGAACCGCATAAAACTGCCAGGCACCTTGGAAGCCACCGTAGCCGATGAAGTATGCAATCATTAATGGTGTAAAGCCTTTCGTCTTCCAGAGCCCATTGGGAATCAGAGGTCGCTCCACCCAGTGTTCGATGAAGAAAAACGCGATAATCAGAACAACGCCGACCGCAATCAAGGCGTAAGTGTAGGGCGGCCACATTTTCACAGCGCCTTGAGTCAACCCAAACAGCACACAGATACAGCCGATTGCGATGAAGCCAGCGCCAAGGAAATCAAATTGGCGAATGCTTGGTACATCGGCCCCGACAATGTCAGCAACTGGAAGGAGAGAGGGCATGGTAAACCAGGCTGCAAGAAGACATAGAGCACAAATAATAGCATTGGAACCGAAGATCCAGTACAGATAAGATTTCAGAGCACCGCCCTGAATCCCACCTAGCCAGAATCCAAAGGGCGAGGTTGCTGACATTGCAGAAAAGACGCGATTCTTCCGAAGGCCTGGCTTGTATACGCGACCAAGGATGCTCATGGACCCAGAGACCAATACCCCCACGGAGATCCCCTGCATTGCACGTACAACATAGAACAGAATCGCCGTCTTAGGGTGGATTGAGAAGACACCCACAATGTTCCAAATAGTTAGCCAGACGAAAGCCCCGATCATTAAGGACCTTGGAGGTGTCAAGTCACTCAATGAGCCGGATATGACCACTGAGAGACTAAGTGGAAGTGTGAAAGAACCGAGTAGCCAGGGAAGCTCGCTGTTGCGGATTCCAAGAGCTCCTTTGAACTCTTCTTGGGTGACTGTGATATCGGCGAGGAAAAACGAAAACAGTAGCAGGCCAGCCGAACAAACAAGAACAAAAATCACTTCTGCCGTTAAGCTACCAAGTTCGGGAGGAACACCTTGGGACTTTGACTCAGATGGAGAGCCAGCTTCCTCTTGTAGATCGGGCAACCGAGACGAACGGCGCGTTCCGATTCGTTCCATGCGGGTAGAGGGCACGGTATTGAGTTGATAGTCGTCATCCCCATGTCGATCAGTGATGGAAAGTGTCCGCGATAGATTTTCCAGAGCTTCTCCCATGTGCGAGTCCCTTCGGGTTCTCGTGGTAGGCACTGTGTACAATTCGGGGACATCTTGAGACTCCTCGGGATGGGAGGTGATGGATCTCCGCCTTGTCGACTCGTGGGTTGTTGCTGGCGTGAGACTCGAACTGAAAGTTCCCAATTCGTCTTCTTCAACACGAAAGCCTTTCTTGACGCTAGCATTATCGGAATCTAAATGTGTCAATGGCATATTGTCTCAGACACTCGGATTCGAGCGTCTTCATATATGACTGTCGAGTTATAGGAGACGAACAAAAGAAGCCATTTGAAAAAAAAAGATGGGAGGGGTATTTTTTCTGGTGAATTGTCAATTTGTGTGGGGGAACGGGGACGTCCAACGTGATTAGCAGCGAATTTAAGGTGGTGGAATGCGGAAACCAGAATCCGTGAACAGAAGATTATTGATAGAAATTTTCAGCAGGCTCAGGTGATTTGATATGTTTGGAGGGCTGGCGCTGGACAACTCTTAGGCGAGTGTGGCCTTCAAAACTTTCGGGCACGTTTGATGATCGAGACGCTTTGGGCGGGCGCGAAAGCACATATTTTGTTGGACTGGTCTGATATCATTGAGAACTTGTTGAGAAACATTCGAAATGCTTCCCAGGATCCCTTCTTAGGAGAACTTGAAGCTGGGGGGACTGTGCAAATAATTCAGTGACGTTTTTTGATCTGATAAATTAAGCATACAGTACTGCCGCGTTTAGCCGTTTACCAGATTCATGTTTTTATATCATCCCCGGCTCGGCGTAAGCGCGGGGATAACTACATTAGGATATAAGGATAAGTTATTTTTCATTCAACACATATGGATTTGTCGGATCAATATACTCATATTCCAATGCTCGGTAGCTGCCTGGTTCTACTGATATTTAATCAGTGCTGTTATTGTTGTGGTTGATCACATTCACATTAAACTAGTTGAGATGCCGTGACAAAAATGTATTGCACAAGCTCATGCCTTCAAATCCAGTTTCTCCTTTCTTCCCCATAGTTCCAGCCATTCTTCAACCGAAGCACCAGATCTGACCAGCTCATTCATGCATATGTTCCGCACATAGTCACATCGAATTACCTTCATGGCGTTACGGATATTATGGGGCGACGGAGATTCCAGGGCCTTTGCCACCCAATGGCCGTCAGGTGCATCTAATGCTAGCATGATAGGGTATGTCATCTCGCGGTTGTGCAAGTCTTCGGCCTCAGAGCCTTTCAGCTTTGCATACTCCGAAGAATAAACATTCTTGCAGTCATTTTGGAGCTGCGAATACCAGCTATATAAACGTCAAACCTAAATCATAGCATAAATCTGTAGGGCAGAGATTGACTTACGCAACTGTAGTTAACGTTTCATCCATGGAATCATTCTCTAGGACAATATGGCCTAGTAAACGGAATAATGAACCGGTCTTGAGAGAGGCCATTCTTCGATATGCCGCAATTCTGTCCGCAGTGGCGGTAGGAAACGCACCGATTCCATCCCTGCGCCAAACTAGGGATATATCTTGACCTTCAAGGATATCCTGGAGATCCTGCATCAACCATGGCGCGAGATTGGGGAAGTCCTTCGTTGTTTTGTTGAGAATCTGGGTAACTCTGTAGTAGGCGCGGTTTGCTGTTTCTGATGGGCCGTATATATTGTGAGCAGCGGGTCGTCCTTTGCGGTAATCGCTTCCGTCGGAGATCTAGAAGCATCTCAGTCAGATGGTTTATCTTGAGCCATATCAAAGAAAGTTGGAGGAGGGCTTTAGGCACTCACATCATCAACCAGCATTAGGCAAAGGTGTATAGCATCCATAATCTCCAACACCATCCGGTACTTAGGAGGGTCATCATTATGAAGGGTCGGGGATAGCTTGTGGACAAACGCTATCCAATGATGCTTGCCGTAGATTTCACGAAGATATTCATAAGGGCATTCAAGTTTGGTAATTCTCTCGGGATTCTTTCGTCCGACCAGGTAGGCTTTTTTGTCCCACCACCGAGGGATGTGAATGTGGTCAACAATTAGATATAGGAAGCCGCTCACAGCAACCATACCCAGGACAGGGCTGACCTGAAGAAAAAATTGGAACAGTCTTTCAAATAGACTCATAATGTAAAATGGATATGAATCGGCTTGCAATAACGAAGAGAGCAGGATATGCGAGAGAACAATCAACGTTTAAACATCTATACTTCGAAGAATTCCCTAAATGCTAGTCCTCCTGCCCAGAAAAGTAACAAGGAAAATGCTAGATCCACAACTGACGTCGCATTCTCTGCACATACTCTGGTGCTATCTCGCTTACGCATACCAGATACAGCAATACATCTTAAGTCAATGGCCAGTCTATGAGATTTCTGCAGGTCAATCTCAAAACATAGCGAGTAGAAATGAAGAATTCTTGTTTCCGGGGTTCCGAAATGTTGCATATGTACCTGTGATAAATTTCCCCTGTCTTGATATGCATGTAGGAGTTGCATTAGGGCGAAACGGGGTTTATTCTCGCATTGTGCAGGGAATATGAACACCTACATTATACAATATGATTGTATATCCCGATTGCGATAATGCACCGCAAACATTGAAATTGCTTTTTGAGTAATATACATTATTCAAATCTTTCAAATGTAGGTCAGATCTACGGTCATTTTAGCAGAATACCGCCTCATATTCTGCCCTACTAAGCACAGAGGAAATTAATTGAGAGGAAGATGACAAGGGTTTCTTTATCTTACATGAGGAATCAATTAATTAATCATGGCAACGCTAACTGACACCATGGACCGAGAATCCCGTCATGCACACTTATGACTTATGCAGGTGGTATTGAGGGCTGACATTTTCTATCTTACTCATGTGTATGTGTTGGTTGCAATTAAATTTGAACTCATGCATAATCACCCAGTTTTGAATAGCAGGGCTCAGAGAACGCCCTCATCACGGAAGCTGTCAGGGTATCTCTTCCTATGCTGAACCTATATATAGGCGTCGATTTGAGGGGCTTGATTCCACACTCAGAATTATTTGATTCTTTCTTTTTGATCTGCAAAATTGCCACAATGGACGGATTCGACCCCTCCCTAGCTCCGATAGAGTACCAAGCCGTGAAGCCTCTCGCCGATTTATTCATCCTCGGAGCTGCACTTGGGTGGGTGACCAATTATGTCGGAATGGTCTACACGTCGTTCAATGAAGGGACCTATGCAATGTCAATTCTGGCACTTTGTTGCAACTTTGCATGGGAGATTGTATATACCTTGATTTATCCCTCCAAAAATCGGCTTGAACGGGGAGTATTATTCCTAGCGATGATCATCAACTTTGGCATTATGTATGCCGCAGTCATCTTCTCGCCACGAGAATGGACCCATGCGCCACTGGTCGAGCAGAACCTCCATTGGATCTTCTCCATCGGAATCATCGGCTTCCTCACTGGGCACCTCGCTCTCGCCGCAGAAATCGGCGCTGCGTTGGCGTACACCTGGGGCGCTATTGTGGCCCAGCTGCTGCTGAGCGTTGGTGGTCTCTGTCAGCTTCTCTGTCGTGGAAGTACCCGTGGTGCTTCCTACACTCTATGGTATGCAGTCCTACTTTTGAGATCTGTCTTACGTGTAATATTATTGCCTCAAAGAGTATCGATCATCGATTGAAAAGCTTACGCTAACATATTTTAGGTTTTCTCGGTTCTTTGGCTCGTGCAGCGCGATGGGGTTCGCATTTCTGCGTTGGATGTATTGGCCGGAATCATTTGCATGGCTTAACAGTCCCCTTATATTGTGGAGTGTGGCTGTTTTCTTAATCGTGGATGGCTCTTATGGGCTATGTTACTGGTATGTTAAGCGGTACGAAAAGGTTTTTGGTACGCCACGGACAGAAAAGGTCAAATGATATGTGAACAATGACGATAGGATCACATCGATAGTCACATTATTGAAAGAAATCACGCAGAGATGAGATATTGAAAGGAATAAATTGCTTTTGTTTAAGGATCTCAAAATGTCACAGTACTATACTGTAGATAATTATGCAGTAAGATATGTAATCGTTCAATATATGCAGCCCCCTTCAAAAGGACATCAGGTAGAATTTCAAAGACATCCTACCCGGCCTCCTATCTACGTGGACAGGAGTCAGTCTCAAGAATGCGCACAAAAAGCCCTTCGTATTCCATATATATCCAAGTCAGTGGTATTTATTTTGAGTAAATAATAGGAGTCTATCTTAGCAGGTGCCCCTCTGTCTAAATACAAAAATGAGCAAGTCAGAGTTCCAAGTAATCATTGTCGGCGGATCAATCGGAGGCTTGACTCTGGCACATTGCCTACAACGCGCTGGGATTGACCATGTTGTCCTCGAAAAAGCGGGAAATCCAGCACCCCAAATTGGGGCATCGATCGGCATTTTCCCAAATGGAGCTCGCATTCTTGATCAACTCCAACTGTATGAGTTGGTCGAGAAACACATTGATCATCTGAGCACAGCAACCATCCGCTATCCCGACGGTTACAGCTTTCAAAGCTCTTTTCCCAAGGTCCTAAGTGAAAGGTTAGTTTTAGTTCATCTCATCTTTCCCGTGGAAGTATTTTTAATGGTTCTGATGGCATTGCACAGGTTCGGTTACCCAATCGCATTCCTAGATCGACAGAAGATGCTTGAAATACTCTATCACGGCTACCCAGATCATCGGAAGATCTGCCTGGACGAAAGAGTGACAAAAGTTGAGCCTTGCGGTGATACGGTTATAGTGAGCACGGGCAAGGGCTCTGTCTATCGAGGGCACCTTGTCGTCGGCGCAGATGGCGTCCACAGCAAAGTTCGGCAGGAAATCTGGAATGCGATCGAGAAGACAGGCTCGGGAGCGGCAATCGAGAGATTCGGTAAGTGACAATGAGCTATATTATTCTCTGATTTGCATGGGAGCTGAGCGCTGCACAGGCCTCACGGCGGAGTTTCGCTGTATCTTCGGCATCTCCTCCCCCATCGAGGGGTTGATTATAGGAGAGCAGGTGAATGCATTATTTGATGGTTTGACCATCATTACAATCCATGGAAAAAATGGGCGCGTGTATTGGTTCGTCATACAGAAGTTGGATAAGAAATATACTTACCCGAACTGCCCTCGCTACATGACAGGCGACATTGAAATTGCGGCAGAGGAACTGAGAAGTATAGTATTCTACAAAGACTTTAAGTTCGGGCAACTGTGGGAGAATCGTGAGACAGCCTCCATGACCGTCTTGGAGGAACACATATTTGAAACCTGGCATCATGACCGGCTAGTTCTTCTGGGCGACAGTGCTCACAAGGTAACTCCTAATATCGGGCAGGGCGCCAATATGGCAATAGAGGATGCCGCAGCTCTGGCGAATCTACTGCAACGATTACGGAAGGGCTCGGGAAATTGGCCTCCCACAGATGGACAGGTGGAGGCTCTTTTGAATCAATATCGCAATATTCGCCATGGCCGCGTCAAGTCAGTCTACAAAAGCTCCCGCTTTTTGGTCCGCCTACATGCTCGAGATGGCCTACTTAAGACTCTTCTTGGTCGATACTGTGTACCATATGCTGGCGACTTGCCTACGTATATCGGATCCAAATCTATTGCCGACGGAGTGATGTGTGATTTTCTGCCTCCCCCAAAGCGCAGTGGAGGCGGATGGGAGAGATATCGGACTAAGGACTTGAATTGGGGGTGGATGCAAGCTACCTTGTATATCATCATCTTTGCTGTTCTGTATATATCTATCAACTGGTATTGGGGTATGGCAGACCGACCCGCAGGCGGTAGAGCATAATAAGCCAATAAGATAACACAAACTAGCATGAAGGCGGTGTAATCACCATCCTTGGAACCTTACTCAGTTCAAAAAAATGAAGCTATTCCCACGATACAAATCTCCGCATACACCCATTTCTAGGCGTTGAAGCAATTGCGACCGTCTAAATGATTTGTGGGGTGGGAATAGCTTTACTTCAATGGTTTATATAGTCGGGGACGGTTTTCAACGCTAGGGATTCGAAGAAACTGATGGTTTCTAGGGTGGGAATAGCTTCAACTTACAGTATACTATAACTAGAGCGGTGTCGAAAGCGGTCTAAAATTCAGGCATATTTAGGCATCAACCCCGCAAAACTAGGCGTGAGACGACAGTTCACCCAACTGTGTGGTGGCCCACCCAAATCACATGACTAATAGCCTATCTTATCTCCACCAGTTATATTTCACGTGATTTAAGTGGGCCGCCGGTTGGGTGAACTGCCCCCTGTCGCGGTTTTTGCTGCGGGCCACAATCGTTGCGCCATCCTCAGCTGAAGATCGCATGATATGGGTCTACATTTTCTTCCGCGTTATATTCCATGGTTTAACATGGTTCATGCCGGGAAGTGCAGATCAAGTACATCGAGGTGGCATGCACAAATCCCTCAGGTGCCCCGACAAAGAATCAGCTTCTTTTCTTTATAGAGAATATCAATTGATCGCATATGCCAGGGCAGTTTGCTAGAATCGCGGGGCGATCAGGCCGTACGGCGATGCCTAGCGTTGATGGCTGACACGGGTCATGCTCTATAAGGATGTGGATAAACATCATGAAACTAACTGCATTATATTGCTTGGACTTGTCAGACTATCTAAACTGTGCGGGGAGGTCCGAGATCCATTTTGGTCGCATATTGAGGAATAAGTTCAGGTGATATCGTCGAGGTTTCATGGCATTCTACGCGTTGTGCGCGTTTACCCGGGCGAAAATATATCGACATGGTTCAGGTATTAGCAATCCTAGAGATGTTGGACCTGATGTGCATCTAATATGCATGCTCACATGCATGCTCCTCCATATTCATTAGGGTGAGATCCACAATTGATCGTACGTCCGGCTCGGTCCGCTTCGCCGGAACTGATTCTCGTTTGGTGAATGGTTCCTTTGAGATTCCTCGTCTTTGTACCTCCCCAGTCGTGTTAGAAATCATGGCCACTATTATGATTTCCCATCCATGCGGTTCTTTCTCGAGTTTGCATTTATCGCATAGGGATGTCTACATCTTGCTTCTTGGCTGCACTTGGCCTCACGCCTGCAGTCATGCACCTGAATTTGCATGAAGCCTCCAAGAGAGCAGAAGTTTTCCGACCTTCCGGGGAGCCTGTACTGACATATGACGTAAAAGAGAGTTTGTGATATGAAAGGTTGGTTTTCTCGCAAAAACGGCGAAGGGTTGTTTAGAACTTTCTTGAGAGACGAATGGAAACATGCTCGGCCTAACAGCAGCAAAGATCTTCGCTTTTATTTCCCAGTACCTTTCCCCGACAACATTCTTTACCAACCATAAGCCGGCTTCGACATATCACCATAGGAGTCCAGATCTCAGAAGCTTCCAAATACTCCACTCCCAAACAAATCATACCCAACAAAAGTTCCAGTTAAATGACGAGAGCGATAGTGGAGCTCGCGAGATCAGCGAGCCGTATGAGAAGGTATGATAAGGCCTTGCTTCTGGAACTGCATTATCTAACCTCCTGAAACTTCAGATTGTGTGCGCTCCGTTAGAATATTTACTCTCTATTCCAGGGAAAGATATCCGGGGCAAATTGATATCAGCTTTCAATGAATGGCTCCATCTGCCGGATGATAAATTGGCCATTGTGAAAGAAGTCATTGATCGGCTGCATACAGCATCGCTACTGTAAGTTCAGTCAGCCTTTACTAGAAGCCGCGCTAAGACGTATGCAGGATAGATGATATTCAGGACGCATCTCGTCTCCGTCGGGGACATCCCGTAGCTCATGATGTCTTTGGCATCGCCCAAACCATCAATGCAGCCAACTACGCATACTTTCTACAACAGAAAAGGCTGAGTGAGATCAATGACCCGCGCGCATTTCATATTTTCACTCAAGCACTCTTGGATCTACACGTAGGCCAAGGAATGGACCTCTACTGGCGTGACGCGCTGGTGTGTCCCACAGAAGCGGAATACACCCGTATGGTTATGTACAAAACTGGTGGATTGTTTCGACTTGCAGTGGAATTGATGCAAATCCAAAGCACTACGACTACGTATGATGAGCCCAGTCGTACAATCTCGAACCACTTAGCTGACTTGATCTAGGGACCTTTCCCGACTGGTGGAGCTATTGGGAATCATCTTCCAGATCCGGGATGACTATATGAATCTGCAGAGCGGGATTTATGCGGAGAAAAAAGGATTGATGGAGGACTTGACAGAGGGAAAGTTCTCCTATCCTGTGATTCATAGCATCCGTGCGGTTCCAGGCAACACGCAACTCATCAATATTCTCAAGCAACGCAGTGAAGACAGAGCAGTCAAAGTTCGTGCCGTGCAGTACATGGAGTCAACCGGGAGTTTTCAGTACTGCCGGGAGGTATTAGGAGGGTTGATGGAGCAGGCGCGAAGCCATGTTGACGAGCTGGAGATACTCTTGGGGCCCAATCAGGGAATTCATCATATTCTTGATTTACTTGAGGTCTACCCGCCAGATGTGAATCCGGGGCCATGAGTCCATGAGTCTATAGCTACATCCTGAATGAACATATGGGGTTCTTTTTAATCGGCGATGGTTAACCATGGATATTATCCATCTACTAGCTTTATTATATATTCCCACCATGCAGAGCTCGAAGACCTTTTCGCCGAACCATCCCCAGAGCTGCTTTTATCCACGCAATTTCGTCACCATGACCAGGCCGATTCCGTAAACTATCAAGCACAATCCCAAGCGCGGGACTAACAGATAACGGGCCAGCTAGCAGCATGCCATCTTTCAAAAAGTATTCCACAGATTGGCAGACTCGATGTGCTACAGATAAGTACTCTCCACAGCGGTCAATGGGATTTATCACTTCCGAAGCAGAACCTTGATCTAACTCAATATCAAGAGCCACACAGCTAGACTTCTCAAGGTTTGTGATCCTTTCCAAGTGCTGGTACATATTTGAAAGACCCGACCAGAGCATTGTTCGCGTTGCCCATAGGAGTATCAGCGTAGCAGCGATCTGGGAGTTTTGGAAACAGAAAACGACTGGGAACAGATTCTCAGAATCAACCAAAGGCTCTGTTTGTGATAGCACACGCCAGTATAACACGTCTAACGCCGATCTCCGCATTTCGTCATAAGTATCATCCAACTGTTTGTCAATCTGCCAGCATTTATGAATCAAATGGTGGAGTAAATCGACTTGTTGGATGAAGCTTAGGCGGGGCAATGATCGCACACGTTCCAGAATCATAGGGGCTTGGGCGAGGCAATCTGTTACGTGATCATGAGACGTTTTCGGTATTCCTGCCCAAGGCTGTTCCATCCAAGTAGACTCGAAGAAGATAGTCGAAGTATAGTGTTTCAGAGAGAACAAGATCTAAGATCAAGGTGATCAATAAACAAACAAGGTTGCTGGGGGTTTACAAGACCTACCGCCGGGACTCGAGCACCAAGAAACAATCGATGTCCCGCGCCTAAAGAATGCATCTCATGACCGCGGGATTGAATCAAAGTGATTATACCACCACAGTGATTAAAATGCCCTTCGGATCCCATGTTGGGGGATTCAAGGGCCTCGTAAAGACTGAGTGCCATGCACGCAGCCAAAGTTCCATCTTCGCGCATGAGACTGGGGTCCCATAATGCCTTTTGCAGCTGTCGAAGGCCCTGGATATAGTGATTTAGACCTTGCTTGACGAGGGAATTATTGTGAAACACGTGTCCAAGCGCCGAGGCGGCGACTGCTGCGCTTGACATCTCTAGTGCTTGAATTTTGGTAGGCAACTCCCCAAGTAAGGGAATCCAGGAGTGTGATGTTAGGGGCCAATCGAATGGAAAACAGTTCAGCAGGAAGGCTTGGATCAAGTTATGGCATTCGATGCGTCTATGCATTGTCGCGTATGCAAAGCTTGTCTCGATAAAGGAGCGGGTGAATTCATTGCCTGTAACCACGGTCGCTGAACTGGAGACAGCAGACTTCGACTCTGTGCTTTTAGTAACTCCCTGTAGAGAAGCAGAGGGTCTGAGAAAGATATGTGTTTTCTCAGCATCTGGTTGAACCAGCACGAATACTGTGTCTTTCTGGTACCCGCCACATACTCGGTTTGAGCGCGTACATTTTGCACATACCGGCTTTTTCTGGTCACACTAAATACAAGTCAGTCGGTTCTTTATGTGTATTCGGACGTAGCGTTACTCACTGCAATCTTTCTTTTCCGACAGGTGTTGCAACCCCTTGACTTACCAGCTACTCCAACCATCTCATAATATGGTCGAGCCTCTTATGATGGTATCACATCACAGCTGAGAATCAATACTTCTGAAATAACGCTTAATCGTGCTTTTGTTCATTTGAGTCAGAGTTTTGCTCAGATTAGTGACGTTCGTTCGTGGGTTCGTGGGGTTGGTTTGGGGGAAGGTTGGGGGCTCTGCATAAGTGGGGCCAAAGTACACCAATCAGGTATCGATTCTATAATAGTTCCCGACGCTAAGCCCAAAAAGGTGGTGATCTTGCGAGAGCATCTATGGTGAGAATTTCAGCACAGCCGGGTTGTTCTTAGGGAGAATCGAAGAAATATATCTATAAAAAAGCATATTTATTCCCACCTAAAAGCCTTATAATTTTCGTTCATTACTTCTTGACAAGTGAGAAGCTTGCACCTTAGAAGAACGAACTATTCAACAACTTCGAAATCAACATCCGGCTCCACCGTTGGGAAAGTGCTGAAAACCATTGCTATGATGAGCCAAAGGATGGCAACGATGTTGACGACTGGGCCCCATCGTGGCCCTAGGTTGAATGATCCTGAGCCAAGTCCACGGACAATCGCTGCTGAGCTTCGCCGACCATATATCAACATGAACACAATCGGGGAAATATACGAGGCATACATTCCCAAAATAGCCATAGATAATACCGCGTTGAAGGCGGTTGAGCTGCCGAGATAGATCAACCCAAGCAGCATTTGGAGAAAGCCAACCACGAGAACCATGCGCACCGGGACTTTCAGTGTGGGGCTCACTTCTGCGAAGAATTCCGACGCTGGCAACCCATTGTCCCGTGCGAATGCCCAGGCTGTACGGCTAGTAGATGTCACACATGCAGCATTGGCAGCCATCGCGATCAAGGTGATGCATAGGACTAGCACGGAGGCACCAGCCGAGGAGCCAGTGACATTTAAAAAGAGCTGGATGAACGGAAATCCCGTCTTAGACTCCAGTAAGGATTCTAGATCTCCCAAAGAGAACAGTAGGACAATAGTATATACTAGGCCAATTACTCCGTTGATAACGACACTGCCTATCATGGCCAGTGGTACATTACGGGACGGTTTTGGCATTTCCTCGCTTAAATGGCAAGCTGCATCATATCTGGAATGAATAGTTAGCTCTCAACCCACTGCGAGTATATCGGACAATCGTACCCAAGGAAAGGATATACAGTGCTCAACAACCCTACTAACCAGGAAACCCCATCATTGTCCCATCCACTGGTGTTGGAGAATTCGACGAAGACATAACTTGCAGAGTGCTTCTCGGACATTGCTCCCAAAACGGCCACTATTACAACGAAGCCAATGACGTGCAATACACCTGTTGTAAGTCAGACCATGATTTTTTTGTCAAATGTTTGGGGCATTTCTCTTACCGGCTGTTGTATTGGTGTGAGGCAAGATCTTGGAACCCCAGATATTGACCGCAGTCGAGTAAGCTAATATGAGCCAATAGAAAAGCATGCCTTGCCATCTAGTTGGGTTATAGGAGTCGAGATGGTTCAATGTGATGAGTGCCTGTAGCTGCAAGCCTGCGGCGAAGGCTGCCGAGGCAGAAAACACCAACTGCCCGCCGATTGAAATCCAACCCGTAAACCAAGATGCGGTGGCCCGATATGATGCCGGTGTGAGACAATGAACCCAGTGGTATTGTCCTATCAAGTATAGCCAATTGTGTCAACATCTAAAATCACCTGGATAAGTATCCATGGAGGAGAGTGGTTGATCGTACCGCCAGCAGTAGGGTAGATAGAGGCAATTTCGCTCAGCGAGAGGACAATGAACATTGTACCAATCAAGGTAATCACACTAAGTGGCCATTCAATCAGCCTTCCGATATGAAAGTATCGTTGAAAACGACTCACTAGTTATAAAACAAGCATGGTGCTCCGCCATTGGTAAGGGCCGCAGCGACAACCGAGGATAACGCCTCCCAGGTGGCCATTAGGGAGATTTGGAGACAAACGATTGACCATAGAGAGAAGTCACGACGGAGCTCTTGGACATGACCAAGGGCTGCAAGTTGGTCTTCATCGCTGATGGGTTTCTCTGGAGCGAGCACTTTAGTTTCATGGTCTAGTATGGAATCCATACTTTACACTCCTCGATGACGGAGATATTTTGGAATAAGTTCAGGAGGAGAAGATAGACAGTATACACAACAGGACGTTCTTCCGAGGTCTATATAGACCTCCTATGGCTATCAGAGGGGAAATTACGGGATATGCATAATGTCAATACTCGTACACGGCCATGATCCGCACAGCCTATCAACCACATATTCACATAGAAAGCGACCTCGGGATGAAAGAAACTCGTATTGCTTATCTTCGCAGGCGGAGATATCGTTTCTTTGTATTGTTCCCCGCATTTTTGTGGTCTTTCTGTTGCCTATCATTGTCTATATCATGGAATCATTCCGGATCTCCACATGTCAGCGGAACCCTTTCCGAGCATGTACGTACTGGTATAAGTTGGCTGGGAGCTGCAGGTCCCCGGTAAAATTAATAAAACCATAACTTCCCTTCCTTATTATGTCTCACCCTCATCCACTTAGTAATCTCTCCATCGAGGAGACAAATTTGGCCCGCGATGTGGTCAAAGCTGCTCACCCAAACGTCGTGATCGACTTTCGGGAGATCTTCCTACAAGAACCACCCAAAGCTCAGCTCCAGGAGTTTCTAGCTCTTGAACATGCCGGTCGCTTAAGCCCAACTACCCCACAGCCCCCGCGTCTCGCTCTGTGCCAATACGATGTGATCGGAGCGGACCGCATTCCTCAGTTCCACGAATCTGTGATCGACGTGGTTTCGCAGTCACGGGTGAAACATACGGTGGTGGGGAGGGAGCATCATGCCAGTTTGACACTGTAGGAAAGAATTGAGGTTGAATATCCAGGGTTTCCTAACGATTGATTAGGAGCGAATTTGATGTTCTCGTCGATAAATGCATGACATCACCATTTTTCCAGAAAGCATTGTCGGAATTCGATCTCCCTGAAGGGTTCGAGGTCGTGATTGAGCCATGGCCGTATGGTGGCTTGGATCATACCGATGAAAATCGTCGTTTTTTTCAAGGCCTTTGTTTCGCTCAGGATAAACGCTCTGGGAATGAAGACTCCAATTTCTATTCGTTCCCCTTGCCCATCATCCCTGTGATGGATGCCCACACCCAAGAGATCATCCGGGTAGATCGACCCGCCACAGGCGGCAAAGGTGATGGTCTACTTGAACAGACTTTCAAGCGGGATATAATTGGTCATTGCAAGTCCTCCGAATACGTGCCAGAGCTGTTGCCTGAGGGGACGCGCAAGGATCTCAAACCACTGAATGTGGTCCAGCCTGAGGGTCCGTCCTTCCGAGTCACCAACGAATCTCTGGTCGAATGGCAGAAGTGGCGGTTTCGTGTTGCTTTCAATCCGCGAGAGGGTGCGACCATTCATGATGTCTCGTATGATGGTCGTAGCGTGATGCACCGGCTGGCCATCAGCGAAATGGTAAATTATATGTTATCCCAAACATATAGCTAGGAACTAATTGTGCTTCGCTTGTTCAGACCGTTCCGTATGCCGACCCTCGATCCCCTTTCCACCGGAAACAGGCCTTTGACTTTGGCGATGGCGGCGGCGGAAACATGGCTAACAACCTTTCGCTGGGCTGTGACTGTCTCGGAGTCATTAAATATTTCGACGCCATTGTCACCCGGGAAGACGGCACCGCCCAAACCCTTCCGAATGTGATTTGTCTCCACGAACAGGACAATGGAATTGGATGGAAGCATTCCAACTGGCGTACCGGGCGCGCTGTGGTCACGCGGAACCGGGAGCTTGTTGTCCAGTTTATTATCACACTGGCCAACTATGAATATATCTTTGCCTACAAATTCGATCAGTCGGGTGGAATTACAGTCGAGGCACGCGCAACAGGTATATTGAACGTGGTCAATATCGACGCTGGTAAGTTCAGTGAGTATGGAAATGTGGTGAGCGGTGGTGTTCTCGCTCAGAACCACCAGCACATTTTCAATATACGAATTGATCCAGCTATCGACGGCCCCAACAATTCAGTGGTCGTGGAGGAATCTCACCCAGTCCCAATGAATGCGGTGACCAACCCCAACGGGAACTTCTATAAAGTCACCAAGCAGACCATAGAGCGTGCATCTTGGATCGATGCCGCTCCGCAGCTCAATCGGACCATCAAGATGATCAATCCCCACATAACGAATCCTATCAGTGGAAACCCCGTGGGATACAAATTCATTCCACTAGCCACTCAGACTCTATTGGCCGATCCTGCATCGGTGCAGGCGCGCCGGGCTCAATTTGCTCAACACCACGTTTGGGTCACGAAGCACCGCGACGGGGAGCTCTATGCTGGAGGTCGTTATACTTTGCAGAGTCAAACAGAAGTCGAAGGTGTCTCTGATGCTGTCCTTCGAGGTGACTCTGTTGTTGACACCGACGTGGTGGTTTGGCACTCCTTTGGCATTACCCACAATCCTCGTGTGGAAGATTGGCCCGTGATGTATGTTGATCGCATTTTTCTTCTTTCCACTCGTTCTTCTTCGCATCACTCTAACTCAAGTACAATAGGCCCGTCGAGATTTTCCAGCTCATGATCCGGCCTGCGGACTTTTTTGTCGCCAACCCATCGCTCGATGTTCCTTCCAACAAGAATATATCGTCACGTCTAGCTGACTCGGAATGCTGTCGAAAGTCGCATATTTAGCTATTATTCAAAAAGAAGGGGCATTGAACATAGAGAAAGGATTGTGTATAAAAATTTGAATAAATGAAAAAAGAATTCAAGATTAAACAGATTAAACATAGAAAAGTCGTTTTGTACATGTTAAACCGCAGGCAATGCCAGGCCACCCACAGACCATGGTGCTAGTTGGATACTTAGGAACTTGCTGTTGATTGCATAAAAAAGAAAAGAAAAATAGAAGAATAGAAAATGTCAGCTTACGTGCCATAGCGAGATAACCTCACGAACGGACAACCTGAGAGTCCCATTTTCCCATATCCGAAGTCTGTGGTATAGTTCCATTTCGAATCGTTCACGACCATTGGGGGCTTCGTTTATTTGGGTTACCATACCTTCGCCCGGTGGAAGATCCGACTCGAATGGTTTCTCACCAGCACCCCTCATGTTCGAAAGCACACACTGGCGGAAATGCCAGCGTAGACAGCTATCAGAGACCTTATCTGGGTCATCGTCGTTTCGGCAAACGGGATCCAGCTGTCTCCCATCTACATGAAACCTGTCATTCTTGAAGCAGGTGATTTTGTAATTGTTTAATCCTTAGCTCCTCCGTCTCTTCTCTCTTCTTTCTTTTCTTCCCCAGAGTCTCTCAGTCCATACTACAAATACATTCGCATTCGCACTATCTGACATGCGAGCACCCCATTTTTGACGATAGAGAGACTTTTCCCTGATTCGTGGATTTCTGCATCGGCCCGCCCCGCAATACCCGTCCAATCAACGTCGTCACAGTAATTGATCTTTGCACGTTACATTAAGCACATTACATCATCTTTGGTCACTCTAACGTAATTCACATACGAGCCGCCACCACATACGACCCGCCACCCCATTCAATAATCTAGTTTTTAAATATATTTATCTCAACCATAACGCCATTAAATTAATTAAACTAAATTCAACTATCTTTCTGGATACCTGTTAATTTTATGCCCAGTTCTTCTACACCCACTACACCTTACTGCAGCCTGTAGACGTGGTTCTAACCCTGATTGAGAGCTTCTACTTAGGGGGGGGGGGGTGCTTCAGCTACTTCTACCGGCGTAGCAATCAATTGAGAAGCTTCCTAAACAGAGAGGCCTTCTTCGGCAGGTATCTGCCTTCTAGATCGGGTCCGTTTTTGCTTCTTCTTCTCATTTTTATCCTATAACTCCTTATTTTCTTTCGCTAGTAAAATAGCGCTATATATCGCAAGCTGGCAGCCTTTGATAAGTTGGTTTAATATACGTTTGGAAGGACTTGTTAGGCTTCGAGATTGTATATAAAGTAAAGCATTAATTGACAAAGCCTGTCGATATAGATCTTTCCTAGTAGTAGGGGTTTTTAGTATAAAATTCTGGCTTGAATCGCTACCCCTACTAGGGGGGGGGGGTTGGTATTCGAAGATAAATATTTAGTTTTAAAAGGACCCGATTAGGTGAAAAGGGTACTAAACCAGCTGCTAAGAAGCTATTTTTAATTATCTCTGATTTAAAAGCTTTAATTTATATAGTAGGGTATGCTTCGAGAAAGTCGAGTTTATTAATATAGTTGATCCTATACCATATTTTTATTTTAACTAACCGACTATATATATATTTTAAGACTATAAAACAGCCGATATCAAGCGGTTATAAAAGGTAAGAGGAATATAGTGGTATATAAATTGGTATAATATCGTTTTACTTATAAATTTTATCGAATTTTGGTATTAAATAGCTTCTATAGCTATTAAGTATTAAAAGTCGATACCTTCCTACTATATATAATAAAGTCGATAGTATAAAGAGTTTCTAAAGCTAGCGAAGTCTAATTTTATTAGAAGTCTAACTATTTAGACTAATTTCAAAATACTAATTATCTAGAAGGCCGTTAAACCAAGATTTAATAAAGACTTTACCTTTAAAAATCATATATAGAGGAAGCGCCTACCCTACTGTATTTATACATTTAATCACAGTTACCTACTCGCGATTTCTAGGTTATAAAAGTAATCTCCGACCATAGTATTCACGTTATATTATAACCTTTACTATTACAGTCAATCCTATAGTAAATCCAGTCTTATCAAAGTTATAAATATCGTCCGGATCGATTCTATACTAAAGAATGGTTTTTTGAACTAGATTAAACCACTCTCTAATAATCCTTAGGTCTTTATATTTCGCGCGCTTGTAATTATAACGTCTTAAGAATCGGGATATAAGGGTAGGGTACCGTTTAATAAAATGTATAACCTAATTTTAGCCAACTGAAATAACCAGGGTGGTTCCGCGTTATTTAAGAAGAAGATCCGCTATTTCTTATACTATAGAGGGCCGGGGGGCCGATCTATAAGAATCCATAGAGATTATCCATTTTCGAAGAGATTCCTCTTTAATTACAGTCAATTTAGTCAAGTTGGCGCGAGAAGTCGCGCGGTATTGTATACCACTGAGGCGGTCCCGAAGGGTTGAACGCGGTACGTTAAAAGTGCGGGCGGTAGTAGAAATATTAGAAAATTCTTGATTCTTAAAAGCCTGGATAGCTAATAAGATCCTACCCTCTTTCTCTATTGAATCTTTAGAGGATTGAGAGCGTTTTGGTGGCATGGTGGGTGGTTGAATTAGCTAGGTACTAATTCATGGACGCGTTTTTGGATGGGGTGGCGGGTCGTATGTGGTGGCGGCTCGTATGTGAATTACGTTACTCATTTTCGCCATGTCGTTATTGCAGACCCCGAATCTACTGATTCGTCCAGATCTGTGATATCTCGTCGACCGAACCAAATTTCTCGGAACGTAATGTCAGATCCAGCCCCCACACTCATGTCTGATCTGCCGCGAGGCTACGTGATTTCGCTTTCACTAGGGTCACTGCACCACGAGGCACGCCGGATCATTGAATGGTTTAAAGACCATACCAGCGGCAATCAGTGGATTGTGGTTTTTGGCCTGTCATCAACAATAGTTGAAACTCTTACGACCGACCGCAACGCGCTTAACGGTGTCCCGTATCGCTTCCAATGAGAGGGCACGACTGGCCTCATCAAGGTTGTCCCCAGAGGAGAACATGAGATCGCTACATCACAGTTCACTACGGTAATCCACGATGAACTTAAAGATATGGGCCTCCCTCGTAAGGAGGTGGTTTGGGTTGGATCTAAAACATACCACTTTGGGACAAGCAAAGGCAAAGAAGCAGACAACTCGTACTTGCCCCCCTCTCGCCATGCACGACCCATTGAAAACGCAGGCTATCCATCACTTGTGATTGAAACAGGTGTCTCTGAGTCGCTTGGTCGGCTGCGTCAGGATGCACGAAAATGGTTCGCAGATTCCGTAGGTGACGTCCGGATCGTCATCCTTATCCATACGAGTGAGAACACTGTGTGCTTCGAGCAGTGGCAGTTGGCCCCGAGTACTGCACCCCGCCCGCTAACCAAGAGATACATCGATACCCTCCGCGCACAAACCCCCAACATCCCACCACTGACCGGACAGCCGGCACAACTTCAGCAAGTCTACTGTGCCAACCAAGTTGATGTCACCAGAAACTTTGTTGCCGGAATGCCGAATGTTATAGATGGGGGCTCCCATGGTCCTCCCCTTTATTGCAATCCAAGATCGCCCCCCAGGTCCAGGGGAGTGGGACATCGTGGTAGGGCAACAAGAATTCGATGAGATTGCAGACTTGTTACTCTAATTCGAGGAATGCCTCGAACAATGCCGGGGATATAGCTGTCTTTGTTCTGCGTCCCTGGTTCTGTATCTTCCAGACGATTTTTCTGCTTTTTGCGAGTTTCGTAGGATTTTCTTTTAATTTGCTTTTGATACTGATTTGCGCTTGGTTCTCATAAGTTGATCTCACGTCTAACGCCACTATGCTCCCTCTTCTTTTCAGAGCACTCTTCCATGTTACCTCCCCCATTGCTCTACGTGGGCGTTATTGAGACCATTCTTCGTTTCGTTGTTCCTCTGTAGGTGTATAATAGATGCCTTTGACAAATCTCTAAGTAATCAAACACACTCACTAAGCGCTTACTAAACAGCCAATCACACCTGGGCACTCAGTGGGCACTTAGTAAGCATTTAGTGAGCGCTCAGTGGGCTCACTGTTACAGCTTGGTACTGACCTACCTTAGCAATGAATGCAAACGACGCAAGTTGGAATGTAGTAGTGGCTTGGTCTGCGTCAGGTGTTCTCGTGATCAAATTCCTTGTGTCTATGCCACTCATCGCCTTCCTAGCAAGTCAATCCAAGAGACTGACCCCAATGATGAAGGGTATGTCCCAAATTCCTCAGTTACCATTTTCTATCGACTATATAAGCAGTTACTGATTTTATAGAGCGAATGTGAGATTCCAAAATGTGGAGAGGCAATTGGAGACTCTGCGGCGGGAAATACGGACCCTCTCCGCCCGCGTTCTTGACCTTGAATCCCCTGGTCCTGCTTCAGCCTCCAATCTGTCAGCTCCACCCACCACAGGGGGCCTGCACCGTATCCTAGATGCCCCTAAGTCTCCGACGTATTTCGGGCCCACGAGTGCGGAGCTTGGCCTCACTCGATCTCAAAGGTCCTTATCTCACCAAGCTGGCGACTGTGCTGCAATTGACGATCGCGGTGAGGACCTCGACTTATCAACTGCTCCTAGTCCCGCGCCGTCGGAGAGAAGTGAGAATACTCCTCTTGGGTATCCTTTGAGAAGCCTTAGTGCAGATGAAACATTGCGATTGGTGCAAGTCTATGAGGACACAGTCGGTGTGATGTACCTCTGTGTCGACTTGGATGGAGTGCGAGCATATGTGCTCGAGTTCTACCGCTCTCATGATTCAGCCACTGCATCTTCCTCTGTGTTGTTGACGCAGACAACCTCGGATCAGGATTGGTTCTCTGCGCGCGATGTCCAGATGCTGAAGATCCTGTTGGCGACCGCTCTACTAGTCGAATCACACGGGCGCAGCGAGCGTGCCGCCCAGCCGGCCGACAGTGTAGAGCATCGCTTCGCCAGTCGATTTAAAATTGCCGAGGTTGATATGAAAGAAATTCTCATTCTGACCCTGTTGGTGTGTATCTCAAACCGTTCCTTGTTTTGTTCCCATGGTGTTCAAATCCAAAAGAAAGGTATTGACTGTAGCAGTCGATTTTTCACTCTTACCACGATGATGAAGTTATTGCCGGACGCTTGATTGGTATGGCAGTTTGAGGGAGTACGGAGCTAGGTCTTCATCGTCAAGAAACGTGGCAAAAGACAGGAGGCGTTTTCCCGGGCGAATTGGAATGGACATGGGCAAGCCGACTGTTCTGGTGCATATACGTGTTAGATCGCAAGTGTGCCTTTGGTACGGGTTTGCCCTTCGCCATTCAAGATTCCGACATTGATACCAACTTGCCTGAGCCGGACCACTCAACTCCGTACTTAACTTGCATGATCTCTCACGCGCGCCTGAGCACAAAGATCTGGGGCCTGGTCGTTGGATGGCCCAACCAGTCACAAGCGGCCACCTCAGATGGTTGCGCTTGTTTGGACGCTCAGGTTCAGCAATGGATCCATTCCATTCCCCGTGAATTACGTTTTGATCCAACTTGGCGCTCTCCCGCCGGATCGGAGCACACTGATAGAGCTATAATACTTCAAGTTCTTCTTGCTCTACAAGCAAACCAACTTCGGATTCTTGTATATCGACAAAATCTGTTTAATAATGAGCGGATAGCGGACAACGTGACCGGTGCCTCGACTGCCGTAGAAACAGCGAAGAGCACCGTTCATATGCTAGACTATTTCAGTCAGGTCTCAAGTATATATTTCCAGCACCCAGAGCCATTCAACTATTTTCTCTTATCTGCCCTTGCCGCTCTCTTCTTGGCCGTCTTACATGCCCCGGCGCGTTTCAGCCATTCTTGCCGGCCCGAATTTTACACGGCTGTAGATATGGTTCGCCGCTCAGCAGCCCGTGCCCCTACTTCCCGAAGATTGCAAAAAGTTCTTCACAGTTTGAAACGGATTCGATTGAACCTCAGGTGGGATAGCGAAGCTGGCCGACAATCATCTATTCAACGAGGTATTCATCCCACGGTACTTGGGATCCAACGCCGATATCAACCACAACGGAGTCTGCTGCTGCACGTACTTCCAGCCTTCATCAAATATCTGAGGCTGCTACTCCTCAGCTCTCATTTAACGCTTTCTGGCCAATGTCACCTGGTACAGTGGCTGGATCTGAATCTAAAGTCTGTGAAGACCTCAGCAGCTTTTTTGAAATAGCCGGTGGATTCTACTTTGACCCTCAACCCGGATCGAATATTGCCGCTGGGGCAGATGTGGGGTTGGCCCCTCCAGATGACACGCGTTCGCCCAATGCGCTGAACGCCTTTCATGACGAGGATGAAGCATTGATGAGAGTCATGGCTGGTTTGCTGTGAACATTGTGGACCTTGTTATGCATAACGATTCAATAAATTAAGCTATGACTTCAACGATGACCGACTTCGGTTCGGTTAAATACATTGCTATACTCGAAATTATGAAACATTCCTCGGGTATTTGCACTTCCGTTTATCCGTGACGAAATGACTGTTGTTTCGAATTGGGATTCCCTGGAACTTGGCGTGCTTTTGCCTATAGTTTTCGGCAATTCCACCAGTCGGTGCTCTAATTCCCACGACTAGTTAATTTGCTGAAGGATTTGCTTCTTTCCGCTTTAGACTCTTACCCTCAGGAGCCTAGTATATTTCCCCTCTCGTGTGCGTTGTATCCAGACTATCGGATATGCTCGCTGCAGAAGAAGATCTCACCCGTGCCGGTGGGGGAAAACCTCGGATTTCCACGAATGATGCGTGCCCTCGCCAAATAATGTATACAAATATGTCCAGGCAAACCCATTAATGAAGCTTCATTGCTCTTCGTTCAACATACAAATCATCTCCCTCGATGCATTTTGGTAATATCATCAAGCCAGTGCTTTTCGCAGCCCTCGTGCACGGATATGCAAACCCTGGCAGCTGTTCAGGGGCGTGCAATGTGCACGACCCGTCGTTGATACAAAGATCATCGGACAGTCGCTATTTCCGATTTTCCACTGGCAACAAGATTTCTTATGCCAGCGCCTCATCTATCAACGGCCCATGGACTACGATTGGGTCCATCTTGCCTAGTGGGTCTTCTATTGATCTCGCCGGAAATGATGACCTGTGGGTAAGCATTACCCTTTCCACAAAGCTTGTCCGCAAGTAACAACATATTGGGTACTGACTTCCATGCTAGGCTCCCGATGCACAGCTTGTGAATGGTCTTTACTATGTTTATTACTCTGTGTCGACGTTTGGTTCACAGAATTCAGCCCTTGGACTAGCCACATCTGCAACCATGGATTTGGGCTCCTGGACTGACCATGGAGCAACTGGTATTGCTTCGTCATCTGCCAAGGCATATAATGCTATTGATGGCAATTTGTTCAATGCTGGTGGTACTTACTATATGAATTTCGGCTCCTTTTGGCACGATATCTACCAGGCTCCAATGAACTCGGATGCCACTAAAGTCGCGTCTTCGTCCTACAATCTGGCTTATGACTCCTCTGGAACACACGCTGTGGAGGGGTCCTACATGTATAAGTATGGAAGCTACTACTATCTCTTTTACTCTGCCGGCATCTGTTGTGGCTACGACACATCTCGCCCTGCCAGCGGAGCAGAATACAAGATCAAGGTCTGCCGATCGACCTCGCCTACTAGCGGATTTGTATGTTACCCAATTTCCCGCTTTAGACACTCGCCCTAACTCTTTTCCTATCCAAGGTTGATGCATCGGGCACTGCTTGCACAAGCGGGGGAGGCACAGTTGTTCTAGAAAGTCACGGGACAGTCTATGGTCCTGGTGGACAGTAAGTTTTCGATTTCGATCGTATTCCAAACTCGAATATTGACCTAACCTTTCTCCAGGGGCGTATTCACCGATCCTAGCCTCGGCCCAGTGCTTTACTACCACTACGTTGATACTACTGTTGGCTACGCCGATAGTCAGAAACTCTTTGGGTGGAATCAGATCGATTTCTCAAGTGGATGGCCAGTGGTTTAAGTGTGTTGGTGCCTGGGTTTTCAGGCCAGATGCTGTTTTTCCCCCTTCCTTCCTCTTCCTCTCTTTGTTCTTTCTCCTCCAGTCCTCTATTAGCTTGGAATACGATCGATAGGTTGACTGGGCTTCTTGCTTTCTTTCGTGGGTAAAGTAGCTTTGCTTGGTTTGGTATATTTGCAACCAAATGCGATTGATGTATGTAGTACAGCATTCTACCGCTAAACCATAGCGAACAACGGGTATCTGTTTATCACATAGGGTGTATGCTATCATGGATTTCTCAATTTGGGATAAATCGTTCTAAACCTGAGGTTTCTAATTCAAAAAAGGCTTACAGTATGACACATCCCGGCGATTTTCGCACTCGGCCGACTGGTTCTGCCCCAAGGGGTTGCCAACAAAATGAGTCTGAATTTCTTCTCCTCAAGATTATTCGAGGTATTTTGCGAACTTCATGAATTTCATTTGCTATGGAAAAGTCATCTAAACTACCCTGCGCCAAAACCCAGGTGAAGTATAACGCGGGATGGAGACGCATCGTGCGAAATTTCAGTCCGTCGTATGGTCTCTCCTCCTTCAAAAACGTTGCCGGTTTGTGCTGACAAAAATATATAGATGGTTCGCGGTGACTATGGGCACTGGCATTGTTTCGGTGTTGATGGTATCGATCCCTTTCGATACTCCAGTGCTCTATTACCTGTCGATCGTCTTCTTCCTACTCAATGCGGTGTTATTTACTCTGGCTTTTATTACTTCTGTCCTCCGATACACCTTATATCCTGAAATATGGCAGGTGATGATTCAAGACCCAACCAATTCGCTCTTCCTGGGGACAATCCCGATGGGCTTCGCTACACTCATTGAGATGTGGGTGTTAGTTTGCGTGCCAATCTGGGGTGAATGGGCCAAAACATTTGCATGGACTTTATGGATGATCGACGTGGTAGCTGCAGCTTCTGTAACTTCGTCCCTGACCTTTATTTTGTAGGTCTACAGTCCTCGACATGCCAATTTTTAAGATACTGACATCCGATCAGAATGTCTCAGCGCTATATCACCTCGCTAGATCGGTTCACTGCGGTCCAATTATTGCCAATCGCAGCGACTATTGTGGCAGCGGGTACTGGCGCCGAGGTTGCTCTTATCTTAGCAGACAAACACCATGCGATGGGAACACTCCTCGCCTCATTCATTCTCTGGGGTATGGGCACTCCGATGGCCATTGTGGTATTGGTAATATATTATCAGCGATTAGCAGTGCATAAGCTTCCACCGAGGGAACTGATTGTGAGCTGTTTTCTACCGCTGGGCCCTCTTGGCTTTGGTGGGTTCGGGTAAGTGTCTTGCAGATTTCCCTTGGGCGCCCTAAGACTCTGGGCTAATACGCTGTCAGCATCATTTACATTGGGAAGGTAGCACGGGTATTGTCGCAGGATTCCCAGTTCCTCGACCCTATCGCAGGCCACATTGCATATGTCTTGGGTGTCTTCATATCCCTCCTCATGTGGAGCTTCGGCTTGATTTGGCTCGTGTTTGCCCTAGCTACCGTTCTATACAGCTCTCCGTTTCCTTTCAACATGGGTTGGTGGGGATTTACGTTCCCACTTGGGGTGTATTCCGCAAACACTATAGAGTTGGGCCTTGAAATGGACATCATGTTCTTCAAAGTTCTCGGTACCGTATGTCCATCCTGTTTTTTTTTTCATTTTCTGCTCTCCAAATAAATGATAGGTACTAACTTTTTATCTGAAGATCCTCAGTAGCGCAGTGTTGCTATTGTGGGTGTTAGTTGCATCGCGAACTGTACACGGAGCATGGCGCGGAACCCTATTTTATGCTCCATGCCTACAAAACCTGGCAATAAAGGAAAAGGGGGCTGAGCGAGATGAAGATCGGCATCGGGCGTAAGACGAAAACATTGGTGAAGTCTCTCATTACCAAGCCTCCAAACACTCCACCAATAGAACAATGCGTATGCCCAGGTCTGATCCCCAGATGTAATGTATCGCGCCGGAGAACCCCGCTGACGGGGTCTTCTGTACCTGCTGTCGCGGCCAGTGAAGGGGAAGCCTAGAAGTACTCCGTATAGCTTAGGCAATTTTTGCCGAACTCGATATCCCGATTCATTGGTCGGACCTAGGGTGATTACCTTGATTACCCCCAAATGTTTACGGGGTACGATGTATTCATCCATGCCAAGCACTACCTATCAGGCGAGTAGTCACATGTTCAGCCCGTCAGCTTCGTGTTGTTCGCTTTTTCCACTCTCTCTTCTTGGATTATGGTCTTTTGTGATACCGGAGGCCGTTTTCTTGACTCTTTGCTATTCAAATAACTCTTTCACGGTAGCGCTTGAGTATTGAGAATGGTAAGGCTTGGGTTCTATCTATACAGATCTATGGCCAAGCACAACTCTAAATCAAGACTAGGATACGGGGGAGTACGAGTTTCCCTTCTTGCAGGAGGTCTTCTCTCCTCGTGAATCGCACAAGATCGAGTATGAATACTAAGGCCCTATATTTTATACGGAAATTATTTCTAAGACCTGTTCTTTAGTTTTGTCTTCGTTCATGGCCTGAACCCAAGCGGTCGCAATGACCATCCTTTCCAGACATGGACGCATAGCAATGGCAAGTTTTGGCCGAGGGACTTCCTGGCCGAGGACATACCCTATGCGCGCGTCTTCGTTTACGGATACAATTCAAGCATCACCCATCCACAGACCATGTCTACGGCTAGCATCAAGGACCATGCGAATACGCTGTTGAATTTATTGGATATGGAACGCGGCCCTCAGATGGTAAAGCATAGGACCCGAAAGGCTTCATTTGAATGGTCAATTAACGTATCATAGGGATCTGTTCCACCGAAAGTGATATTCATCGGACATAGTTTGGGGGGGTTAGTGATCAAACAGGTCAGATATATATATCCCATGACCTTTTTGCTATGGCATCTTCCTGACAGTCTATGATTCAACGGTATAGGCACTGCTCAATGCTAAAGAAGATCCAAAATATACCTCTATTCGTTCGGCAACTTCTGGTCTCGTCTTCTTCGGTACACCTCATCGTGGAGCGAAGGCTGTGGAACTAGGGAAAATTGCAGCCCGGGTTGCTCGCTTTGTCTCCAAAGGCCATGCTAGCAATGACCTTCTAAACTGCCTGGAATTCAATTCCCTTTTTACTCGACAGATGACCGATCGGTTCCGACATCAACTGGAAGATTATCGTGTTGTTAGCTTTATCGAAGGGAAGGAGGTGCAGATAGGGGGAGTTGGACCAGCATCTATCAGCCATGTAAGCAGATTTTCCTTCACTAATTATCATCTCCCCCAGTCCCCGCATACTTTTGTCCTGGAAGAGTGACTGATATTAAAAAGCTTGTGGTTGATGAAGAGTCTGCGGTTCTTGGGCTGTCTGGTTTACGCGAAACCCAACTCAAGCTCGACGCAGATCACTCGCAGATGTGCAAGGTGGGCTCTCGGGGTCCGATGTACCGTTTGATAAAAGGCAATATCAAACAACTGGTCGATCAGGCGCTTCTGTCGGAGCAAGGCTTTATTCCACCATCGATACCTTCAAGTACCGCGTCATCCCCACCGCCAGTCCCACCACGCCTTCATTCAAATAGTAGCACGCCATACCATGGGCAGAGTCGCCCATCTCCTTCGACACAAAGGGTGACAGGAATGATTTTCAACGCTCTGGATAATGACCCACGGTCTGTTCGCTCCGCAGAACTCAAAAATCGGGCTCGATGGGACGAAGCCCGAACCGTCGAATATGGGATTTTCCAGGAGCATTTGCGCAGCCTTGGTCCGGATCATTTCAGTACACTATCAGTGGCATACAATTTAGCTGAGGTGGAAATGGAGTCCAGCTACTTAGATAAAGCAAATGAATGGTGCCATTGGGTGTCCGAAAATGCCCAACGCGTCTTTGGGACAAAACATCCCCTGGCAATGAAGACGGAAAGTTTGACTGCAGAGGTCTTGTGTCAACAAGGCAAGTACCAAGAGGCCGAGTCGGTCTGCGCCAACGTGTTAGCCCGTCAGCAAATGACTATCGGCGAAGATCACCTAGACACCTGTGACACTCGGCGCCGATTGGGAATGACCTACAATGGACTAGGTCGCCGGGAAAATGCCGTTATGACTGCGGAGAAGCTGACAGACACCCTAAAGCGTCTGCTTGGAGAAACCCACATTCGTGTATTTGTCATTGCGTTGGATGCTTTGGAATACATCGTGAGCAACCATTCTGGGAACGAAAATGCCCTAATTGTGATGCGTTTTCAACCCGATGTACAACAAGCAGTGGGGATATCGTTACAGGTCTACCAAGAGCTTCGTAATGCCTTGGGTCATGGACACCCGGCTACCATTCGCGCTCTCTGTCTCCACGGCCGAGCACAAAACTTTATGCAGCAGAGTATAGAGGCCTCAGAGACACTGCGCCGGGCTTTGGCCAGTGCCGAAGAAACGTTAGGACCCGATCATCCGCTGACATTAGAAATCGTGGGCAACATTGGCATTATGTACGCTGCGCAAAATAGCTATGCTCAAGGTTTACTCAGCAACAGTCCCGCTGCTGAAGCCTTCCCCTGGCTGATACGATATTTGAACTGGGTTGAACAGCGCAAAGGCAAAAACAACCCCGAAGCGCAAGCCACTTTGGAGCTTCTGGCCAGTCTACATTTCAACGCTAGAGAGTACGAACCCGCCCAGAATTACTATGAGCGCCTCGTGGCGAATATTCGCGGGGCCGACTCAGCAATGACCGAGCGCGTCAACACTCGGCTTCAACTGTGCCGGGCGAACACCATGTACACCCGTCGGGGCCTAGGATCAGGACTAGGAGGGTTTTTGTCCAGCTTGCAGCGATACTGACGGGGTTTTATGATTATTATACCTGGATATACAACTTCGCTTTATGAATTCAATGGGATCTTTGTCATTATTCAGTCGTATTCATTGTGGTACATCTAAGTATGTTCATGATCCGCGAAGGGATATCATTTGCCTTTCGAATTTTATACACGCTGAGTGGATCAGCCGATCATCATGAGGCGTTTAATGTGTCAACTTGTTGGGGATGCTCTTTCTGTATATGGAATCAGTACTGATTCCCTCCGTTATAATCCGCATGGAAACCATACCTAGCCTTATCCAAATGCTCATGGCCGGCATTGCTGAGCTTCTTCGCAGGGTCAAACTTGTCAGCACCGATCTTCTTCTCCGTGGTGTGAATACCTATTGTTGTTAACTTCAAGTCTTAAGGCGCGAGAATATAAACATCGAAGCTCACCCTTATCAATGTATTCTTGGCCCTTATTGCCTCCGAGCTTGTTAGCGATACCAGAGACTTTGTCCATTGTGAAAGAGTGATGATTGTGGTTAAAAAATGTAACGGGTTACTGTAAAGGGGTAAAAAGCAACTCTGGATAATGAACGACCCTTTATAGGAATCTATAGAGTCTATTACTATGCACTCCGCATTTCGTATTATGCTTAACTCTGTCTATGATAATGATTCGCTTTGGCATAGAACGCTATCGTCATTGCCGCACTCTTAAATGTGAATTTGCCCCCGCAGGGCTCAGTACCTAGGCATCTTTATTGGCATACCGCTTCCAGATAGGCTCAAATCTGAGGTCATGTTGATGATCTCGATCTTGCCATGGTAGATCTAGTCCGTTGTCTAACGGCGATATTGCATATTGTGACGTCAGCGAGCAACTATCAGATTATAGTTACTTGTCTCAGGCATTAGTTGACACCCTCATTATGAGGCACTCAGGCATCCAGGCACCAATAGCTACAACAATATACCGAGGAGCCCTTGCTTTCACGGCGCTTCTCCGATCTCTCAGTTATACAACCGGCTATCAATATTCTTGTTCAACCTTGTGCGGTATTCTTTTTACACCCTTCTTGTATATTTGTTACAACGATAAGCTCACGCAAAAACATATATGGCTCTGCAATCTATCAACCAGACTGACAACAATTTCATCAAAAGCATCATGGAGATATTGAATATTCAGCTGTGGGCAACACACTCGGTGCGAGCTACCCCGAACCAAATTGCTTCCCCGCGTTTGATCAAAGTCAAAACAAACCCCCATACTATACAGCAGCCAATGAGACAACCCAAACGTCAGACGTCAGGCAATTTTTCCAAGTAGCTATTGACAGCGCTCCACTTGAATATGTCTATTTGCTTTCTTACCCCGGAGGTTCGTGGTCAAACTCTCGGAGATGTGCCGATGCGCCGAATTAGCCAAGTACGACGCGCGCGATCCGATTTCTTTATAACCTATAGCCTCCTCTAAACCCCAGGGAGTGTAGCGTTTCTCGTGTTCAATATATACCCGGTCTTACAAGAAAAAAAGAAATGGGAAATCCAGCAGAGGAATGGGAGAAACCCGATAGCAAGGGCCTTGCCTTCGAACAAAATGCTCTTTACCATGCTTATGCTTCTAAAAGCCCAGAATGGCATCGAGATATGACCAAGCGTCTACTTCACAAGGTTGACTGGCACCTTTTACCCTTCCTTATTCTCATGTATTTGTTAAACTTTCTGGACAGAAAGTAGGTGACCCTGTTCACGGGAGCTATACATGATCACGAATCCTAATAGCTTCTTTTAGCAATTTATCACAGGCTCGCCTAGGTACACTTGAAGAAGACCTCGACATGGAAGGCACCGATTACAATCTCGCCACAAGTATCTTATTCATCGGCTATCTACTGATGCAACTACCATCCAATCTACTCCTAACCCGTGTTCGGCCTTCGCTGTTTCTGGGTATTGCAATGGCTATCTGGTATGACATATTTCAATGAGACCGACAAGCGCTAGAATGCTTAATTTATTTCACAGGGGTGTGATATCCGCTTGCCAGGCAGCCGTTCAGTCATTTTCCGGACTCATTGCGACGCGGTTCTTCCTTGGATTTGTCGAGGCGCCTTTTTTCCCAGGTGCTGTCATGTTAATGTGAGTTTCTATAGATTTAAAAGAAGTGTGTTTAAGGAGGTGCTGACATTTACTTTGTATAGGTCGAGCTGGTATACACGACAGGAGGTAATTCAATACGCCCTTTAAAGTGACGAAGCATAAAATCGAACTTACTCGCCTAGTTGAGTCATCGTATTGCATGGTTCTATGCTGGCAGCTCGTTAGCCAATGCTTTCGGTGGTCTTATCGGGGCAGGTGTGCTAGGTAATCTTGATGGCGCGCATGGCATCGCCGGATGGAGATGGCTATTCATCATCGAGGGATGTATCACAGTGGGAATATCCCTGCTCGCGGCGTGAGTCTTTTCTGTGCTTGATACGTACATTATTATGTCTCCAGACTGACTCTCAGCAGTATCTTTCTTCCAAATTATCCAGCTTCGACTCCCTGGTTAGACGAACAAGAACAAGCATATGCGCAGTGGCGCCTAATGCATGATGCAGGAGAAGCTGACGAGGTCAGCTCAACTAGTATCAAAGATGCCCTAGGTCTGGTATTTGCGGACAAGCGTATTTACCTTTTCATCTTGCTTCAGCATGTCTCGCTCCTGTCGCAAAACTTCCAATACTTCTTCCCGACTATTGTGCAGACCCTCGGATATGGGAAAGTCGAAACCCTTCTGATCACCGCGCCTGTATGGATTGCTACGTTCTTTGTCTCGCTGCTGGTGACATGGTCATCTGGTAAAACCAACGATCGCAGCCTACATATCATCTGCTTGATGATGGTCAGCATGGTAGGAGGTGTGATTGCCACTGCTACCACTAACCTTGGCGCCAAATTCTTCGCCATGTTCCTGTAAGTCCTATGGTTCCGTTATTTTTCGCATGTCTAACAGTAATCAGGATGCCCATGGGAGCTGTGTCTGCATATCAAATCATCATCGCCTGGGTTGCCAATTCCTTCCCCCGGCCGCTGGTTAAACGCTCTGCGGCAATCGCTATTGCAAATATGATTGGAAATACCGCTTCTATCTATGGTAGTTACATGTGGCCATCATCTTCGGGACCTCGATACATTCCAGGAGGAAGCGCGACCGCTGCGATAGCACTCTTTGTGGCGTTGGTCGCTCTAATCATTCGCCTGGTGCATATTCGCATGAACAAAAGGCTGGATGAGACTGAGTCATCAGGAGATATTATTTCGTCCAATACAAACGATCTAGAAACCCGGGCTGTTGGGTTCCGGTATATTCTATGATCCCGTATTTGGGGTTTGTTCTTACACACTCTAAAAAGACATGGAAGACATATAATGGATTGGCAATTTCAACTATAAAGCACACATAAGTATATAAAAGTAGATATAGGGCTCCTTTTAACGTCCGAAGAGCGGGGTTGGCATCCTTCGATTAGAACCGTCCACATTCGCCATCACAGTCCAATCAAAAGAGACCTTGGATTGTTTCCTCTTCGTTTTCCACTCCGAAATCACTACACTTCATCTTCAACTTCCTCTTCTCATTTCAAAATGGTATGATCTATATCCCACCGTGTGATCCTTTGAATTAGGCTGATTTTGCAAGTCGGGTTCATCATCTTTCACTTCAATCCCTATTCTAGATTTCTCTCAAGCGCTATCCCCATCTAAACCCGCCTTCCTAGCAAGCCTTCGCGACGCCCTAGTGAATGTTGGCTTTTTCTATCTTCGAAATGCTCCGATTTCGGACCAAACCCAAGATCGGTTTATAGAAAAGGCCCTAGGTCTTTTTGAACTACCACTAGAGAAAAAGCTTGAAATCGAAATGGTCAATAGTCCGCACTTTTTGGGCTACTCAAGGCTTGGTGCAGAAATTACGGCTTTGAAACCTGATTATCGTGAACAATTCGATGTAAGCTTGGGCTGTATTGTTTCTTCGGATATCTATTAACACTTTTGTCAGTTCGCAACCGAACTCCCTGCACCTGGTCCAGACGAGCCTTTATACAGGAATGTCGTTGGTCCTAACCAGGTAAGATCTTATATTTGGTCTTTGTGTCCGTCAATGCTCATAAAGAATTCTGCCAGTGGCCGGATGAAACGGCAATCCCCGGATTTCGGGAATCTCTCGACACATATCTGTCTGAAGTGAGCAACCTAGCGGAGTTGTTCCCAGGATTGATTGCAGAGGCCTTAGACCTTCCATCAACTGCATTCGATCAGGTCTTTGATACTCCCCAGCAACACAAACTGAAGTTGATCAAATACCCTCCCCCACCTGCAGCTAGCAATGAGGATTCCGGATTTCAAGGTGTTGGTCCTCACAAAGATTCCGGATTCCTCACATTCCTTTTACAGGGTACACCTCACCATGGCCTCGAGGTCCAAAATAAAGCTGGGACATGGATCCCCGCGCCGCCACTCCCGGGAACATTGGTTATTAACATTGGCCGCTCCCTAGAGGCGCTGACTGGGGGTATCTGCACGGCAACGACTCATCGGGTAAGCTTACGGCCAGAGAACTTCCAAGACAATGGGGGCAATCTAGGGTCTAGGTTTTCCTTCCCGGTTTTCCAGGGAGTGAGTCTCGATCTTTCCGCCGAGAAGATCTCTTTGGATATTCCAGCTCATATCCGTGCTTTGGTGGAAAATGACAAGGTCAAATCAGATGCAGAGGCAACTTTTAACGAAATATTCCGTGGGTGCATTGGCGAGGGAACCTTCATTGCTCGGGTGACCAGTCACCAAGATGTTGGGCAGCGATGGTATCCGGAAGTCTTGGCGAAAGCATTGAAGGGTCAGAAGGATTTCCTTAGCTGATTGCTGATATAATATCTATGATATGTCTCGAGATGATTGCATTTGCATATGCCTACCTAGGTAACTCTACGTAGTGTTTTTCCTCTGCCGGGTGGGGCTTTCCTATCTTGGCTAGCTACAGTGACACAGCAAAAGTCTTAGCACCCCAAATTCTGCCGGTCAAATACCCACCAATCAGAAATGAGGCAGAACGAGCGGTATCACAAAATCAGAAGGCGGTCTATTCAATTAAGAAGGCGGTAGCAGAAGGGGTGTTCAGACTTTTGCTGCGTCACTGTACCTCAAGTGGGTATAGTAATTGATGGTTGGAGTCGTTGACGACAGATCAAGGCAATTATTCTGGCTTTGATCACCACGCAGATCGTCGCTATCAAAAACATTCCTGTTTCTCACAGTATACTGTTCAACTGTAGCTTTCACTAAAACTCGTGCAGAATCACATTTCATAATTATCGTCGTTGACGCTCACCACCGAGGCAGGTACCTTCCCCTAAGATTTTGTCGTGAGCTGTGCCCTTTCCTTGCCCACTTCATTCCTCCAACTCCCTCGTTCAAAGACCGCAAATCACTTGTTGCCCACAGCCACGACATCCCTGTTTACTGATATTTGGGCTCCGCAGAATGTCCCAAAGCGGCGCGGTTGTCCCTGCTCGTCCTTCCCTGATGCAGGGTCTCCCCGCTGGATACGCTGTGCGGGTTTTTTCCCAACTCGAGCGACTCCAAGCCGACGCGGGGAGGATCCTACAGTTGCTCCAAGAAAATAAAGATGGAAACCAGTGGCTCGTTGTCCTCGGTCTGTCGACATCAACAATCCGAAAATTGGACGACGACCACAGTAGTCTGGGAGGCGTGGAATACCGCTTCCAGTGGGAAGGATCTACAGGCCTCATCAAGGTGGTCCCATCCCACACCCACGACATGACCACAGATCAGGTCACCAGGTCCATCGACGACAGACTTTCTGCAATGAGAATCCGTTCCACTGATAGGAAGTGGGCTGCAACTTCCACCTACAAACCCACCCCCACCGAAGGTAAGCAGGGCGATCAAGCTTTTATTCCACCATCTCGGTGTTCTTCCCCCGAGCGACCTGCGGGCTGGCCCACCTTTGTTATCGAGACTGGCATGTCCGAGTCCCTCCCTCGACTCCGGGAAGACGCGAAGTGGTGGCTCGCCGCTTCGAGTGGGGATGTGCGGATCGTACTCGTTATCAGTATCAAGAGGACCAGCGTCTACTTTGAAAAATGGCAATTGGCTCCATCGAATGCTCCGCGCCCTCTCACCCGGGCGTACATCGATACCCTACGCCTTCAAGGCCCCCACATACCCCCTCTCTTCCAGCAGCCAGCAACGATCCAGCAAGCATACTCTGCACACGAAGTTGAGGTAACCCCCACTGGGATTGAGGGGGCTCCTATGATTCTCCCGTTTGCTGCGTTGTATGACCGAGACCCCGGACGTGGGGAAGTTGATGTTGTCCTCGATCCTCAAGACTTTCGGGACATCACCAGTATCCTATTTTAACACCTGTTAGTTTTGCTACATGGTTGGTTAACTGTTTACCTCGTCTCCACCTTGCTGTGATGACAAATTTGTACCACACACGTGCGTTCCCAACATGCTGGGCCCATATCATTATCCACACTACAGGGCCTAGCATCAATCTTCCTTCTCCAATATCGCCTTCCAGTTGTCATGCTCCGAGCCGAGCTTAATCAGCTGGGACCCTTCTTTAGCTAGTTAACTAACTATGGTATCACCATGAAGCTTTTCAGAGATCACCTGATCTGGCTTACTTGCTCAATTTACTCGCTTACTGTGTGCATTGTTTACATTAGATAGATTGCTTGCTGAATTGCTAAGCAAGATATTTGATGTTTGCACTGTTTGCAAATGGATAGCTATATCAAATATTTGGTTAGTGTACAGCTAACTAAACTCCAACAAGGGTCGCGAGTCGGCAAACGCGCGCGACCATGACCTGATGCTTTTCACTTCAAGCTCAATACAACCAACACTAAAGCGAGCCGGGAAATACTGTAAAGAATGGTTCTTCATTGCTAGGGATGAAACTTCAGGCACTGTACAGTGATTTAACGTTGAGTCAATCATAGCGGAGATGGTTAGAACAAAATACATGGCCCTTTCATTGCCGATTGAATATCACCCATGCACCACAAAGCCTCAATTTTAGACGAACGTGAAAATTCGACAGCCAGCCAACCAAAAATATCGCTCCATAGTAATGGATAGTTATTCTGTGGCGGAGCGATTGTTTCTGTCTGACATTTGCGGCATCGATTGCTGTCTGATATTCAAGGCCGCTATGAACTGTCGGTGTTCCGTATTGTGTAATGTATGGGTCTAATCAATGGTATTCAACTCTCTGTATTGCACTATTCTGGCAATTTATACTACCATGATTACATAAGGAATATTACAGCATTGGTAGGATTAATAAATCTTCCGATATACCGGCGTATCTACGCCGAGATGAACGCGCGGCGGCTGGATAACTTCTTCGTGATAGATTAGACCTCGCCACGGCCCACGTAGCCCATGCGCGGGCAGGTCAATGGTTCAGCCCGCCCGTAGGCCGCCCATCAACCGCCCATCAGCGCACAATGTTCCCAAATAGGATGTATGAATCGCTCATTCTCGATATCACAGCTCCATATAACCATGGCGGTCTGAGTTGGTCAAAACTTGAGAGAAGATGTATTGAAATGACGGGTTATAACGCTAGAGCCCTACCACACGGTGACTTGTCATGTGGTTTTTTGTTAACACCTCAGCTTAGCTTTCAGATCCGCGGGCGAAGAGTCCAGAAGAATCTCGCGTAAGGCGCCCGCGTTTCATTGCGTTTTTCGGGGGATTCTTCTTCTGAACTAAGCTGTTCAGGGGGGGTCTGAGCTCGACGACGCTTTCGCGTACCTGGTGACAATGGCTCATCGACGCCTTGGTCTAGTAGCTGTTTCTCATGTTCTGCTTCGGCAGACGAAAGAAAGTCACAGAGCTCCCTCGATGAGATATGGATATCTTGATCGAGATTGGGGTATTTCTGTGAGATGCTCTTGGGGGCAAAGTCCCTGAGTGAAAGCTGGAGCGCCGGTTGTTTAGAATCATCGACTGGAAGTCCAGACTCTGTTCGAAAAGGCTGCAAATCGTCGGTCAATGCTAAAATTTCTTGGGACTGCGGCTGAAAAGGAACGTACCATCATATCGATCACAGCCTTTGCTTCGAGTTCCTTCACCCCATCCACGGTTATTTTGTGCGGTCGCCAAATGGATATAGTCGCCTTTTTAGACCCTCTATATTCAATATTGAGGGCAATCACAGCGTTCACGCTCGCATTAGTATCGAGGATGTAATCATCTGCTAAGTCCGCAGCAGCTCGAACTTTTTGTGAATAGCACACTTCTATGATGACACCGGGATATTTGGCATATTCGTGTATAAATGATGCATCTGGGCATCGTTCGGAATAAGTCTGCTCTGTATCATTTATATCATTCGGCAGCCGGATTCTGGATGTCGATAAATGTTTGATCTTTCTCGCAAAATCACCGAAGGCTTCATCACTCTTTTGCAACTCTGTCAATCGATTCAAAATTTTAGAGACTACCTCGGCACAAAACAAATCATATAGAGGACTCGGCATTCGGATAGTAAGACGGGACCGTCTGGGGTCGTAATCGAGCCTATAATACAACTCAACAAACATGCCTTCAATGCGCCTGAAGATTGACAGTACTTACCGTATTTTGTCTTCTACGTAACCTCGAAGAGATTCGTCACCATCCAGTACACATAAAACCTCCGTATATTGGTCCGGAGTAAGCCGGTGTTGCCACCAAGATTGTGGCCGTCGACCTTTACGGTGGAGTTTGAAATAGTTCAGCACGCTTTGAGCACTAGTCGACAACTTCTTCTCTTCTGAGGGCGGGGGTGTAGGGGGAGTATTCACAAAACTCCCAGTTGGTGTGGTTTTCTTCTCCATGATGTCTGATTCTGATTCAGGCGACATCCTTGGGGTACGGTTTGTTTATGTCGCAGAGAAGGGGCTAAGCGCCGGATGAGTTGAGGTGTCACGTGATGACGTGGTTGCAGGGATGTCGTGTACAACGTAACCGCCTTGGAGGGCCCCTATTAGGTCCACCCACTGCCAGGCGTCGAGCAGGCCTATCGAGTTGGTTCTGGGGGTCGCGGGAGGAGTCGGAAAATGAAAGTGGAGAAGTGCAAGTGTCAAGGCGTAAACAACCTCGTCAGTGATTTTAGGCTCAATGTTGAGCTGAATGGTCAGTGCGGTGGCTGGAGCCTGACACTGTTGTTTTCTTTTTTCTCGATCTTTCTATCGACTTCGACGTGCCACGACACTCATTAATTAGCTTCAAATGATGTTTCTCAATTCCCAAATGGCCAGTTCATATATCATTGAGCCCTCATGTTTGGATGCTCTTTCGAACCCCAAATAATGATGTTAAGCGACCCATCGAGGTTACATAATGGTCAGGTGATGCTCAGTGAAGTGGACGTGTTTGATGATTATGTAATGCTCAGGAGTGAGCAAAAAGCGGCAAGGACTGAGCACTAAAACGGAAAGGGAAAGCCAAGAAGTGGTAGAGGAAATCTACTACTCCGTACATAGGCTGGGATTAGATGACCTCCGGAGATTGGTGAGAGGAATGGGGATCGGGATATTGAGCAAGAGTGAGACTCTCAGTGGCTGTAAATTCAAGACCTTGAGAGAATATATATTCTGTCACAAATGAGGGAAATATAAGGAGAACCTTGGAAGTTCATTCAAGATCGTGATCAAAGGGGCCAATGCCCAAATGTCTTGGCGGATCTCCAATTCCCATTTCTCTCCACATCTCTTCTTCTCTCCACACCTCCTCTTATCCAAGATGCCACGCGCCGTCCGAGGTCAGCTCCTTTTGTTTTCTGCTTTTAAGATCTCTTGCTAACATTTTGTGTCCTTGGTAGGTCTGCTGATCGAATGCGATCCCTCGATCAAGTCCATGATCCTGAAGTACGACGAAGAGCGACATGACTACATAGTGGAGGATTTGGATGACGAGAACCACCTGGTCATCAAAGAGAGCCAGTTGCAGAACCTCAAGGTTCGCCTAGATCAGGTACCTACTGCACCCTAGCTATTGCCGGGCTATCCGAGGACTGTTACTCATAGACTTGCCAGGACCTTGACGAAAAGATCATGCAGCTGGATGAATCCGAATCCGAATAGGGCTGTCACCAGGTATTTCTCAATGAAGACGAGGTCTACACACGCGATGCAGAGGCAACCGGTCACCATATCCAAGTCCATAACGCACCCGCCAAACACCATCTCCCACCGCTTGTTACGAAAGATCGCATCATGACTTCACTCGTTTACAATGGTTGAACAATGGTTGAATGCAGCCCGACCACCTCTCTCAATCATCCGCCCCTCCTCTGACCGATGAGTACTTGGGCCACTCTCAATGATAGTGTGGGGGCTGCTCTCAGACAGCGGAAGGGAGGTCGGAGAATGTGCAACTCATCGAGGCTTGTCATACTTCACGGTGCTGTACATCCCAGCTCCGGGCCGTGCTGGCTAGTAATACTCTTGCAATGAATGGAGGCGTGTGGCGTGATCGAATGTTAGCGAAGCACATCATCCAAACCATCGGAGAAACCCTTACTCCGACAGGCATAACCATGGACCACGTATATAGTGTAGATGTCACTATCTAGTGCCACATTCTGCTACACACTCATTGGCACATTGGCACATACACTGTAATCAGTCAATTACGTCTTATTGCATAAGACAACAGTCGCGACCGTCGACTGATGTCAACACCGGTTACACGGCAATGCTAGAGACAGCGTCTTTGTGTTCCTTTTCTGTGTAAGGGCACCTGGTTTCGAGTGCATCATGGCTATATAAGTCCCTTATGAACGCCCGGGACATCCAGCTTCCCTCTCATGAGACATAACCCGCAAATCTCAGCTTCAATATAAAATCACGTCTTTCAAGTCACCCAACTTCCAACTCACAACATGTCTGTTCTCCGTACCAACTTCCCCGGCTCTGGCGACTTCGCCCCCCTCTTCCGTCTTCTAGACGACTACGATGACCACCGCTCTGCCCGCAGCCAGGCTGCAGTTCGCTCATTCACTCCTCGCTTTGACATCCGTGAAAGTGAAGGTGCATACCACTTCGACGGTGAACTGCCTGGCATCGCTCAAAAGGACATCGATATCGAGTTCTCCGACCCCCAGACTCTGGTTGTCAAGGGCCGCACTGAACGCGACTACGAAGAATCCGAGCCGCCAACCGAGGAAAAGGATACCGACGAAACCAAGTCCACTCACCGGTTCTGGGCCAGCGAGCGCTCAGTCGGCTCGTTCCAGCGCGTCTTCTCCTTCCCGACTCCTGTCGACCAGCACCATGTCAAGGCCGTTCTGAAGAACGGCATCCTTTCCATCAACGTGCCCAAGGCCACTGCTGCCACTTCCAAGAAGATCACCATTGAGTGAACAGTCCTCCCACGAGCCAGAAATACTATTTTGGCAATCGTATTGCATGGGAATTGGACTTGTTGTTCTTGGGTATATTTCCTACTTTCCTTGTATTAGTCTATCCTAATTCAAATTCATATTGTTCTCCTGTTTTTTTTTTTGAACATATCTTATGCTCCCCGGCCTCGGCACATGCAGACCTATGATACGCAAAACGCAATATCAAGATCAAACTATCTCTGAGATTACATTTAGAAGTGAACAAGATCTGAGACAAGTAAGTCTTAACTTTATAAAGCAGACGTTACAGTGACATCATCATAACACTCAGAATATCCATTCGTCCAAATTTTCCATTCATCCAATCTAGACCTATCGGCTATATCTTCACTGAGAATGTATGCGTATCAAAGCGAGGGTGTTGTGGCGGAGGAAGGTGCAAATCCGTTTCTCGAGCACCTTCCCTTAGATACGCCAGTCTACAGTTACAATCGACAGTGCTCTATAGAGAGTCTCTTCCCTCCAAGTTCAGTTGAGGATCGCTTCATCGTTGTGAAAAATTTCCCACCAGACGTATTCTCTCAGCACGAAGAATTACCGCGGGTTTGCGATTATTCGCGATTATTTCAGATTCTCATCATCAAAATGCCCAGTGGACCGCATGAAGACGCGGCCAACAATTTTAACTACATGATTATGGCACTCGCTCAAGACATGAGCGTCCGCAGACAGCTCAGGTCTTGGGGATCCACCAGAGTCGATACCCCTGACAGACGAAAAATGGCAGACAACGGGTGGGGACCAAGAGGGCCACCGAGACGATTCCCAACGGTGGCCCTCGAAGTTGGCTTTCCGGGGCCAACAGCAAAACTAGAAAATGATATTGCGTGGTGGATCAACGGGTCAAATGGTGACGTGAGAATCGGAATCACCATTGACATCCAAGATTCGGACTCCATTGAGATCAAATCCTGGACAGCTTTTGAGCCGCCACCCCACTCGAACTACACCACAGCAAGCGGTCGCCGTGTGGTCGACGGAGGCACCAATGATCCTCCTCCACCTCGAGTGGCTCAGAGGGTTTTTTTCAAGAGAGGGAGAGATGGCGCTGGTCCTACAGTTGAAGGAAAGGGTATAACTCTACCATTCCGCGATGTCCTATTGGACACGCCAGGAGAAGGCGAGGGGGATTTCGTGTTGACATCCCAGAAGCTATTAGAAGATTTAGCAGAACTTATTTGGGATACGATAGATCAGGTCGAGAAAATGCCATGAAGGAAAATGCCCGTCGCCCATGTTGGACGTTGTCACGTTTCTCACGTTTTGCCGAGGTCCCCCGCTGTATAATCACAGCCCTTTTATAGTTAACTACCCTCACTCTCTCTTTTTCTCTCTCAAATTCCAAAAAACATTCATCTTTCTCCCTCGAAACATGGCTGAAAACTACTCTTTCGAATATTTCACCGTTAAATTTCCCACCGACCATCAATATGTGGCCCACGTGGAAATCAACCGTCCGGAAAGGTTGAACGCCTTCATCGAAGTGTAAGCGCTAGTTCCCCCAGACTTACTGTACATATTTTTAACAAATCAAAATCAGTATGTGGGAAAACATGGCCAAGATCTTCAATAAACTTTCCTCAGACCCTCACGTGCGCGCAGTCGTTCTCAGCGGCGCTGGAGCGAAGGCATTCACCACAGGGCTGGACGTCAAAGCAGCCTCGGAGGGTCTCCTATCATCAGACGACACCAAGACCGACCCAGCCCGAAAGGCAGTCGCGTTCCGTCGCCACATCAGCGCCTTCCAAGACTGCATCACGGCAGTAGAGCGCTGTGAAAAGCCCGTCGTGGTTGCTCTCCACGGGTTCTCATTGGGACTCGGCATTGACCTGTCAACGGCGACCGACGTGCGTCTCTGCGCTCAGGATACCCGGTTCGGCGTCAAAGAAGTCGATATCGGGCTTGCGGCAGACATCGGTACTCTCAGCCGTCTGCCCAAGGTGGTCGGGAATTACGGATGGGTCAAGGAGGTGGCGCTGACGGCGCGCGAGTTCGGCGCTGAGGAGGCGCTCCGGGTGGGTTTCGTTAATGCGGTGTATGATACCCGTGAAGCTACTATTGTGGCTGCGTTGAAGCTCGCATCCCTCATGGCTAGCAAGAGCCCCGTGGCTGTGCAGGGTACTAAGGAGATCTTGAACTACTCGCGCGACCACTCTGTGCAGGATGGACTACGCTATACGAGTGTGTGGAATAGCGCTGCTTTGCAGACGCAGGATGTCTCGGTAGCTTTGCTGTCTGGGTTGCAAAAGCGTACTCCGACATTCGAGAAGTTGTAGTGACAAATTCACCCATGCCCACTGTATATAAGGTCAAAACATCTAGTCTGCTAATATTGAATGTCATCATTTTTTACAGAAACTCAAAACCCCCGTGCGTTTGCCAAGGAATGCCAATATCATCACATTTGACGTGACACATACGGAGTTATCCCGTACACATGAAACTGTTTCAGGGTAAATTTCCGGCATTTTATCCAAAAGCCTTGTTATTTCAAGTCCGTGTCTGAGTTTCCATGAATCAGAAGCATCGATCAACTGGTCGATCAACGGGTCTCCGCATTCCAGCCCTCCCCTTTTCTCCGAAGTAAAACTCGAGAGCCCACTGAGGATGTCACTTTTTCCACGTATCCAAGCCATTGCTGAACATGGCAAAATGTATAATTTCGAAGAAACTGCCAATTCTATAGGGAAAATTCAGTCTGACTTTCCTTTTCACTAAAAAATTCGCCCTATTCCTCTCGCCATGAAATCTGCTATTCTTCTCTCCGCGGTCATCCCCAGTGCGCTAGGTGCGACCATCTACCTCGCTGGTGACTCAACTATGGCAAAGGGTGGGACTGGATCTGGCACAGCGGGTACGTGTTTTCCTTGAAGCTTCCGGATAGCATCATGCTAATACTCCTAGGTTGGGGTGAATATGTTACGCCCTATACCTCACTCACCGTGTCCAATCAAGCTGTCGCCGGCCGCAGCGCACGGTCATACACGCGTGAAGGTCGGTTCGATGCAATTGCAGCAGTGGTTCAATCAGGAGATTGGGTGATCATCGAGTTCGGCCACAACGACGGTGGCTCTTTGACTCCCACCGACAACGGGCGCACCGATTGTTCTGGCACAGGAAGCGAGACTTGTAGCACAACCTACGACGGGGTCGCCGAGACAGTGTTGACGTTCCCGGCATATGTCGAGAATGCCACCAAGGTGTTCAAGGCCAAGGGCGCGAATGTGATCATCTCGAGCCAAACACCCAACAACCCCTGGGAAACTGGAACCTTCACCTATGCCCCCTCGCGGTTTGTGGGCTATGCGCAGGTGGCAGCTGCAGCCGCCGGAGTGCCCTATGTTGACCACGGGGCCTATGTGGCCGACCAGTTCCAGACGCTGGGCCTGACTGCTGTCGATGCGTACTTCCCCTTGGACCACACGCACACCAGTCCTACCGGTGCATCGGTAGTGGCCCAGGCCTTTTTCAAGGCTGTGGTTTGTGGTGATGTTGCGCTGAAGAGTTCCCTGAGCACCACCTCTTTCCCTGGTTCGTGTCTCTAAACGAACAGCAGAGTAGCAAGTACGGACCCGTGCAATCTGAGCTTATTTTGTGACTATGGTTGTGCTGCCTGTAGAGAGAGATAACAGAAGATTGCGTGGCTTCGGCTGGACAACTATATCCAAGAGAAATTGTAGATTGGGTTCCAGCCCAATCTGGCTCACGAGCAGGTAAATCCGTAAGGTTTCGCAACAAGGCAGGAACACTGAGATGTAAAGCTCTCATTGGGAATCCCAGTAGGTTCAATTTCATTCCTCCAGAATAGACCGAACGATGCCCCGGTTTTCGACTCGGTGATAATATTGATTCACGTTCACGAAACGAGCATCAAATGCACCCTGGGTCTGTACAATCTCGCGCAGAACTGGCCATAGAGAGCAATCGTCAATGGTAAACACGGAGCCTCCTAGGTAATGTTTTCCCTGCAGAGTACACTCCCAATCCTCAATCCCGTATTCAAACCCACTGGCTGGATTGGTAGCACAGTGCCGACGCCAGCGTGCCAGAAACTGGTCGATCCTTGGCAAGAAACTGCCCCCACGTAACGAATCCACGCCTGGCCGTAAGGTCTCAGTAGATCGGTTAGCCATGTGCGCTAGGATAAAGGAGTCGCCCGCGATTATTTCTCCATCACCCGTTTCATATATTGGCAGTGTCGTTGGATCACTATCTCTAGCTCCCAGTTGCTCATGGTTGGTGATCAATTGATCCCGGACGCCGTTTTCCCCCAGACAGAGACGAACACGCAAATTGGCCACAAGATCACAGCCAAGTAATAGTTGGCCTGTTGCTGTAGTCACAAAGTTGACCACGTCAAAGCCTTCACCGTAGACGGCATCCCAATCGAATTCGGTGGCACGATTTTCCTGGCCAAAAGCACCAATGAGACGTGCAGTTGCAGCAGGATCCCCGTGGACCACAGCGCGGGTGTGATCCAATTTCTTACTGACAGCCCCTTGTCCCCAGATTGTGTTGGCCACAGGGTCGATGAAAGTGCCAATATGACGGAAAGTAAGGGAAATGCGCTGGCCGCCGTAGGCTTGCTCCTCGGCAGATTTAGTTGGATTGGGCCGTTTGTCGGCCCGGATTCCATGAAGCCATCGCATGTTTGTCCTTGGGCCGAGCACGAAAAGTGAACCGTGAGGAAGAGGCACGCGCTGCGTTGTCCGACATGGTTCAATTTCTCCATCAGGCTCAGATGCCGAAGTCTTGGTACGGAGAACCATCACGCGCTCGGCGCCTAGACTGACGTTGCAGATGAAAGACCCTCGCACAATATCCAGCGTCTTATCTGAGTGCTCTGATATACGATCCTGTCCATCACGGTAAAGCTGAATAAGCACATGATTTAAGGGGTGGCCTAGTATTCGCTCGACAGCTATGCGGACTTCATCAACCGCGGAGGTAAATGGCTTGAAGGGTGGAGACTCGTCTGCCGGATGACGGTATATGGGTATGGCTCCATCGGGTCGAGGTTGACCCTGGACTGCGACCAACCGGGGAACCTGACCCGACAGATGGTACATCTTCTGCCAATCTACCTCCGCATGTATACGCTCAAAGGAGTCTGCGGCCAAGTTGAGATTGTTCACGAGGCGCGAGTCGCCCTCCCCGATGGTATTTTGGGATGTGGTTGGTATTTCCGCGGATTTTGAAGGTGTTATCGTCCCATCGGGGTCAGCCCGAGGTCTGGCTGAAGGTTCTTTTGGACCTTCCCGGCGCTTCGGACGACGGGCACGCACGCGGACCTTCTTTTGGTCTTCTACTGGACCCCGCGCCTGCGCAGCAGTAGCGCGCTGTACGCGAGACGAACGAGCAGGTTCGGGGCCATCTGTGGGAGAGGTGTCCGCAGTATTCCAGAATTCCAGACCATCCATGACTCTCTCGAGGCCAGCCGTAGCGGCTGACCTCTTAGACTGCGGTGCGCCTTGGCGGGCAATTGTCTCAGTCTCATCCCAATCTAGCTCCTGGATGAGCTCCCGAGCGGTGATACCAGTCGCTCCCAAGATATCTGCCATACGTCGCATTGCTTCTTGATGCCGCTGAAAATCGCGGAAACCCAAGCAATCCTCCACAAGAGTTACTGAAAACCCGTTGCGGACAGCATCCAAAGCGGTCGCAAACACAGAGACATTGGACAACGAGCCACAAAGATACAACTCGGTCACAAAGTGTGTCCTGAAGGATAGCACAAGGCCGGGGGACTCCAGGGCGGAGTAACCTGTTTTGTCGACTACAATGTCATGCTGGGCGTTGATGGCGGCCAGAATCGGTGCGGGGAACTGATATCCCGGGGTATGCGGATCACAGCATAGCGAAGAGTCGGCGGAGAGAAAAGCTTCCTGGTCAACAGGTTCTGGCGAATCATGGTCCGACGCAACTTCAATTACATCCGAGGTGGGCATCTCCTTTCTGCGGGGTGGCTCTCTGTCTAGCACAATGCGATCACCAAAGTTCCAGTCGACGATAGTCTGAGGGGATTCATATCGTGAGCGCACCCAAACTACATCGCCGACTCGACGGAATGCAGATGCCAGCTGTGGAAGGGTCTCGAGGATATCTGGTATATTGGGGACATGTAAAGCCCCGGACGGACGGACAAAGTCATTTTGAAAGTCAAGTAGTAACAAGGCCTTTCGGGTCTGGATGGTGGGCAGATCCCCGAATGAGAA